GGGGCGGGCGACAGCCCCAGCGACAGTTTGGCGTTGCCCGGCGGCACCAGCGTCCGCGACTTCGTCGACTGGGTCAACAAGCTCCCCGAGCGCGAGCCGCCGACCTACCTGGGTTTGCCGGCGAACGCGGAGAAGCTGCTGCTGGTGGGTCACGGCCGCAAGATGATCTCCGATCTTGCGAAGGTGACGACTTTGCTGGATGAGGGGGAGCAGTTGATGATTGAGTCTGCTTAGTTTTTTGTGGGGGGGACACCCTAGAAGTAGTGATAAATGGGGAGGGGGATTTGATTGTGTGTGTTGGACTTACTCTGCTCTGTGAGGGAGTAGTCTGGTCTGTTCTATTCTTGTCTTCTTATTTTAGGTGTTTAGTGGACTAGGGTACGTTAGAGGCGGGGTAAATAGGTCGGTATCGGGGTGGGTTGTATTTTAGACGTGTACGGAATATTATTGTATGCTTAGGAAGTGTGGTCTAGATGAACGTGTACGGAATATCATATTGTATGCTGAGAAGATGTGTGGTCTAGATAATGACTAGTTGCGTAGGTTGCAGCCTACCCACCAGTACATTAGCAGTTACCATGGGGGGATTAATGTATGGTCAAGCCGGACTACCATTCGTCTCACTATCACCAGTTGACAGCAAGATACTGCATCGACAAATAACAACACATGATCTTCCCAGAGAAACAGCAATCAGATCAATCCCTCATTCCATCCACGTGATCCTCCAGAAGTAAAGCCACCAACTCATTCAACGTACCCAGGTGCAGATAATGCCATCATCATCATCACCATCTTCTTCTTCCACAGACCAGACAAAGACAGACCAGAGCAGACAAAGTCACCCCACCAGAAAGCTGAATGTTCAACACAACACAACACCATCACACCGCACCGGACAACCCAAACCAAACCAAACTAACCCAGCCCAAGCCTACACCGTACAGCAAACCCAACCAAAGAAACCACTAACCCCACCTCCCAATCCCAATCCCAATCCCCGGAGATAGAACAATCCCAGAATCACGACAGCACCGTAAACACGACCGAAGACCAAGCTATCATGACCCCTAGGCTCCAGCTCCAGATCCAGATCCAAAACACAAATATCCCGCGGTCGGTCAGGGATTCGAAATCCAGGGTGTTGGTGTTTACTTCACGAGAAGGGATCGGATGGTTTCTTCGGGTGTGGGTATGGGAATGGGATTGGTTTGGGTGAGGGTGAAACTATGGGTTTGAGTATGGGTGAGGGTCTGTATGTATGTATATGTATGTATGTATGTATGTATCCACCGGACAAGTTGGGTAAGGGTAAAGGTAAGGGTAAAGGCAAGGGTAAATCGGTTGTTGAGGAACGTGGACGTGCAATTGAGCGAATAGCAGGAGCTTTAAGCGGACGGGTGAGGCGATTTGGTTTCGGTTTGCGACAAGAGTGGGATCTACTGGAATCCGTAGATGGGATTGCCCATCTTTTTCGGTTGTTAGTTGGTTCTGGTATGGGTTCGAGTCTTGGGATTGGGGTGCGCATGCGGATGGGGATGGGATGGGCATGAGGTGGGCATGGGAATCAGGGTGGGGAGGTAGGGGTAGGAAGGGTGGTGGCTTACCTGATTGAGCACGAATGTCACCTATATAGTATAAGATTTCAGTTAGCGGTGTTAGTTGACTTATCCCGGGGTTCGCTGTCTGGCGGGGTTGGTTGGTTTGCCAGTTGTGCTGGATATAGTCGGGCATGTTGCATTATCTTGTTGAAGGGGGGAGGCGAGGGAAATGGGGACAGGGGACAGGGGACAGGGGATAGGGACGTACGTCTCTGGTTGTCACGACCTATTTTTTTGCAGTTTTTGTTAGTGGATGTGGGTGGACTGTATGCTTGAGCATCTGTTCAAGGGAGATAGATGGAACCAAGACTTGGGGTAGATACGGATGATACAGAGGACAGTACAGGTGAGGGAGTGAGTGAGGGTGAGGTCAGGGCCCTCTCTTCTCTCTGCTCCTACCCTCTCCTCTCTTCCCCGGGGTAAGGTAAAATGAGATGGTAAGAAAGGGGGAAAGCGTACCTTACGCTCATGGCCTGGGGTGGTTCCACTGTCCATGACGTGCACGATGCGGCGGATGATCTTGAAGTGAAAGTCAGGTGGGATTGGATGGGAGCTATGGGTTTATGGAACCGGTGATTCGTATCCTGGGTTGATTGGGGTTTGGAGTTTGAGGCCTGGAAGAGTGTGGGCTGGGCTTACCTCGGTCAGTCTGTCTTTGAGGGCCCTGCGCGCTTCCTCGTAGATCTCATTGCCGATGCGATAGACGCCACCGCGGCGGGCGAGACGGCTGAGATGGGAGTGGGTTAGTTTGTGCTTTGGCCCAGGGGAATTGGATTGCCTCAAGGTTTCCAGGCCGGTTTGGGTGATTGGATGCTGCTGAGCACTATGATACTCAAGTTGCGGGTGCAAGGTAAGAAAAAGGAGGATGCATACCGGATCGCCGGACGAGCTGATTTCTGTTAGTTTGGAGGCCTCATCTTGTGACTTGCAGCAAGAGAGAACTTACTAACACCCTGAATGTTATCGCGAGCGAGTTTACTGTGAGGTTGAAGTTGAGGTTAGTGGCAGTTTAGCTGGGGATTGGCCCTGGCTGTACTGTAGACAACTACAGCAGCTAGAGTTGAAGACAAAGCAAGGCAAGCGAAGGCAGAAAGCGTACCGGAATCGTCTCCTGGGCATAAATGCCCGATGCTTACTTTCCGCCAGGCGATGAACATCCATCTTGAATAATGGTAGACGTGATCTTGACTAGCAAGGGTGATGCGAAGGAAAGGCTTTCGGAATTTGGACTAAGGGGATGTGAACAACAACATGAGGGTGAGGGTGGAGTTGGAGGTCTACAGCAAAGAGAAAGCTGGTGAAGTGTTGTGCTGCGATGATTATGTCGTCGAGGGGAAGTCTCGGCGTTGCCCCCAAACCCCCCATACTGAAACGCAAGGGAACACGCTGGAAAACGGTAACACAGGACATAACATTAGATATCGTGGTAAGTTTATAGGCTATTAGAATCAATATCACGTTGCGGTGCGTATGGATGCATGAAAGGGGAGCGTGAATTCAACACCACTCAAACGCCGGGACAATGTCCGCATCAGGTCCTCCCTCTATGAGATAAAAGTCGCCTCGGAGAACAAAGTACCCTCTTCGGTGATCTCTTCATCGCCGATCTTAAGCTTCAAAGATAGCTTCTCTTGGGGAGAGTACTGCAGATCGATTAGTTTTGACTCCATATAATCTCGTTGACTCCAAACTCGTTAAGCTCGGATACGTACCTGGAAGATGTACGGCCGGGTACCGGCGACACTGCCAGCAATGGTCTTGATAAAGCCCGGAACCTCCGCCATCACATCGATCCGGTCCAGGCGGTTGCCCAGAGCTCCATCGACCTCAGCATGAACCTCCTTGCCATCCTTGGACTTGCCCTCCCAGACCCACTTGACGGACTTCGGCTCGGGCCAGTCGCTCTCGGCATCCTGGTTCGATGCCGTGTGGGTGGCAGTGTTGGTGCTACCAGCATAGACGATCTCTCCGTCCTTGACGATACCACCGACGTTGACAACAGTGGATCCGTATGAGGGAGGAGTGGTGTATTCCATCATGATGGCCGAGTAGGTAGGGGTCTGGAAGTTGAGGAAGTTCCATCTCGCAGCTACTTCCTGTCAGCAGGGTCCATGCACAGCCCGAGATCCGACTTACCCGCGTGGTGGGGCTTCATGCCCTGGAGCGCGTGGATGAACAGACCGCGACCCTTGAGGTCGAAGTTCTGCTCCTTGGTGGTGATGGTTCCCTCCACGGCGCAACGAGGCCAGAAGGCGTGGCTCATCGAGCCCCAGGGGTTCTGCGCATCCGTGCCGAAGTATGAAGTGCCGTCTTTGCCGACAACAAAGCCCGGAGCGGTGCGCTTGAAGGTCAAGTTCACCAGACTGTCCTCGTTCACCGCCGACTTGATAGTGTAGGTGTCGCCTTCCTCATTCAGCGTCACGGCGAGGTTGTCGGCGCCAAAGGAAAGCATGCTCTCATCGAACATGAAGTTGGAGAGCGGGTCGGAATGCCAATTGTGGGGAGCGTCACCCTTGAGGTTGAAGATCTTGGAAGTGAACTGGGCGGTAGTATGAATTCCACTGGTCCGAGCACATCCCAAGGTCAGTGATGCAGCTACCGAAAGAGATCCGTCCAAACTCACACAATGTTGCTGTAGATGACCTGACACAGTGCTAGGGTACCATTGTCGCCCATGACATAGAAGACATGGGTCTCGACGTTGGTATATTGGTGAGCACGCCAACGGAGGTCATCCTTGGTGAGTTCGGTGTAAGGGGTTTCTTGCGCCTGCTGGGCAACCGATCTGATAGCCTCCGGGCCATAGATCGGTTCCTGGGTGCCAGCAACACTCGCGAGACTATGGGAGGTCGTCAGCAAATGTGGCGATGCTATAGCTATCAGCCACTAGAGTCACCGGCCAGCAACTTACGTAGACTTAAGCCAGTTCATGGTGAGTTGTGTTTGTATGAGTAGAAGAGGGGGGAATCTGTGTAAGAGAGATGAAGCAGCACAAGCGGTGGGGGGGAGAAAAGTAGCAGGAGGATTGGAAGGTGGGCGGGAACTGGAAATCGATAGCGGGCGGGGCCCAAAAGGGTCGATCACCGTCTGGGTCCCGAGAGGTACTTGTGAGGGTCGGGTGAGGGACGAAGTGGTCAGAATTGGCTGATATCTCGTGTACAAGTGATAATTAGCTGGTGCCGGTTACTGGAACGTATACCAGCACTGAGAGCCAGGCGAAATACAAAGAACGAGGATCAAGCGATTCATAGATTGTCGAAGGTACGAAGAATGACGTCCGCATCGAAAGTCGGGAGGCTTTCGCTTGTCGCCCAAACGGCAAGAAACTCCGGCCCCCGCCGCGCCCTTTCCCTTTTGGGAACCCCAAGAAAAGTTCCAGTTCTCAATGCCGCATTCATAGGGTCCGCCGCGAAAGTGTTAGATTGTTGACTTCCTGTGCAGCCTGTCAATTGCCCCCTCTTCTCAGTCTCAGATATCGATCATTCATCTCAGCTAGTCTCTCATCATGGCGAAGAAGGCATTGCCCAAGGATCAGATTGTGAAGCTGATCGTGGGAGCTGGTCAGGCCAGCCCCAGTCCCCCCGTCGGTCCGGCCCTGGGTAGTAAGGGTGTGAAGAGTATGGATTTCTGTAAGGTGAGTTGAATGTCCACATTGGATCGATTGCAATGAAGTTCATTTCCTTGGCCTACCGGCTGCAAATTTGGGGAAGCAACTACGGTTCCCGAAAGAAAGAATACACATGGCTCACTCACGGCAACCACTATACAGGAGTTCAACGCCCGCACTGCGCACATCAACACCGGTGTCCCCATCCCGGCCCTCGTCACCGTCCGTCCCGACCGTTCGTTCCTGTTTGACCTCCGGACCCCGACCACGACCTATCTGCTTCTGCAAGCCGCCAACGTCGAGCCGCGCAAGAACCGCATCCGCGGGGCCCAGAACCCCGGCCACGAGATTGTGGGCAAGGTCTCTCTCAAGCACATCTACGAAATCGCCAAGATCAAGCACACCGAGACGCGACTGTCCGGTCTGAGTCTGCAGGGCATGTGCAAGAGTGTTATCGCCCAGGCCAAGTCGATCGGAGTGGAGGTGGTGCCGTGAGCGGCTGGACGGGGGAAGTCGACTGTATTGTATATGGGATCCTTGCTACCGGGCGATTACTGCTGCTAGCTGTCTGGGATTGATGATCATGGCGTTCTTGGGGGGCTGGGTCTGTTGTCATTTGTATTAATAGGCATTGCATGTGATATAGAAAGCGTTGGCTGGTGCCTGAAGCGTTCTACACAAACAACCTCGATCCTGCTTTGCAGAGCGTAAGAGACCGTCTATCCTCGCCGATGTTGCAGGTCTAGTAGGGGGTCGGTCTTGGCTCAAGCAAAGCGACTCCTCCGTGTCACCCGCACGACTGCCACCGTCACCATGCCAAGCTCCTTCCGCCGTCCATCGAGCAACCTGAGGGCGGAAGAGGAGACAGCAGGAGGCGAGAGTGCGAGTCGCAAGGAGCCAAGAGGCGGACAATGACTGCAGCAGGTGTGAGGAGGCACGAACAGTCATCCCCCATTTCTGCCGAGCCAGCCCAAGACACGGAGGGTACGCAAAGTGTAGCAATCCGTTCGACGATCATTGCGATCGTCTGGGAGATAGCGAGCGGACTTGGTCACCTTTTGGGGGGGCAGTGCAAATCGTTCCAGGCTGAGCGAAAGCGCTTGGGCTTGGCAAGGGCGGAAATAGCCCATGTCTGTCGCTTTTCATGCAAGTTTGGGTGATAATGCTATGCTTGGCAGTCTACTCCGTACAAGGGGGATTGCGGAGATGCGTCAGAGTGAGTCGATCACATTCCTCTGCCTCTATTTCCGGCGGCGTTGTAGCTCCTTTGTTCTCCGCATTTTCTGGTTTGACATAATCTGGGCGGCGATCGCACTCTAATCGTCCCTGGGTAGTAGACTGGTCTTGTTACCGCTTGATAGGGTTGGACTGTTGATTCGGATCAAGGGAGTAGTCTAGATCTGTCTATGTAGTGCCTTGGTTAGGGAAGGCTATGGATAGAGATCGACATGTTAATTTTCTGAGGTCTATCCAGAAGATGCAGGTGTTGTAGTAACTCGAATAAGTCCTGTTGAGATTTGATCAAGAGTAAGGAGAGGGCTTTCAGCCTTACCATATTCTACCAAAGGTTTGGTGATGGATGATGCACCTTGGTCATCGACTGGAGGATAGATGGGGATATTATAGCCTAAAAGGATCCGCATCGACAGGGTTTAATAGCTGTTGAATCCCCCTGTTGACGCGGACAAATCAATGCCGGCCTTGTCTCTCAGGCTGCCGTTTAGCAGCCCGCTATTTCCCGTTTACTGGTGTTTTGTGCTGTCATCATTGTTACAGAGATAGTCACACGAGATGTGCAGAATTTGATCTTTCTCAATTACATAGTGGTGTTAGAGGGGAAAGGAAACAGAGGATAAAGATGTTCCAGCTAGGGCTGCCAGTTCAAGCTCTGACATGGGATTGTCTGCCCTCAGATACGATGGATACGGAGCAGTGGAGACGGGTTAATATGGTTCATTCCGGCGGGGTGGACCGGTCAAATAATAATGTGCATGGCAGGGAAGGGGCTGGTTTTAAGTCCACGCCAGTCAAGATCCAGAAGAATCTAGCGGGGTATCTATGGAGTATGATGATGATGATGATGATGATGAGTACATCAACCGGCAATTCGGCACCAGTCATTATTCAAGAAGTGATTGGAACCATTAGCAGCTGACTGCCAACTCCGGCCAGATGACACTTACTTCCTTCCCTTGCCCTTCCTCTCTGATAACAAGATGATGTCGACATCCCAGAGTTCATCCGGTGACCCCCAAGAATCGATTGATTTTATTTTATGGTTCCCTCCGCAGAATCCCGAACCCAGAGCCAGAGCCGGTCGGTGTCTCCATGGCCAATCTTCTCCGCACGGGGTCGTCGATCGCCTTACGACGAGGATGATGGGAATGGAGAGAGAATAAGGAGGAGAAGTTGGTGAACCGTGCATGCAGGCGCAACTCATTCCCTCTCATAATAGATTCCCCCTTTGGGGATTTCCGAATTCTAGAACCCGGAACCGGCTGGAGAGGAAGAGATTCCCGGGCAACTTTCCCAGTGCAGCCGGAATGGCTTTTCCAACTCCATCCATCCATCTTGAGATATATTGGTCGTTAGTTTGACAGTTTGACGATATTGAGTCACCTTAGAGAGCAGAATCGAATTATCTTCAAATGAGGAACTAGAGAAGATCTAGGTACTCATACTCATAGTCCTCATAGTAAAGTTGAAAGCAAGAGTCCGTGCCGCCGCCGCTATTGCCGCCGCCCGGCTGGATTTCCTTCGCCGAACAGCTGCTTCTCTTTCTAACTTTCTCTTCCTCTTCTCTCTTTAGGCTCTCTACTAGTCTCGTAGGCTCTTGTCTGTTTCTTGTCTCGCTCCGTCTTCTCTCCTTCTCGCTTTTCCTCTCTCTCTCTCTCTCTCTCTCTCTCTCTCTCTCTCTCTCTCTCTCTCTCTCTCTTCTCGCCTCCAACTTCTAGCCCGGTGGAACCTCCTCCCCCATCTCAATCCTGCATCCTGCTGCTGCCTTTCCCCTTCTTCCCTCTTCCCTCTTCCAACCAACCCTCTTCCCCCCTCTAACGTTTTCTACTTCCAGACCCTCCCTCCACTTCCCACCTTCCCCTCCTCCTTCTCCCCAAACTCTCTCCTCTTCAGTCTTCTCCTCAATCCTCTAATTCTTCTCACTCTATCACAGGGTCACTCTCGGATCATAATTCCTGTGGCTGTTGAGTGGGATAAATTCTCCTCCTCATCCTTTCGATCTCCTGCCCAGCGTTCAAAGTGCTCTGGGTGAAAGTGGTGACCATTTCTGGACAAAAGATTTGCTCCGTTGTCGTGCATGGGAAATCCTCCGTGCAACTCCCGTTCTGTCCTACTCGCCCGCCTTCCACAGCAGCCCGCTGATCGCAAGAGTGTTTCGTTTCTGAATTTCCGATTTATTTAATTAGTTTTGTGTTGGTTACCAATCGCGGTGGTCAAGGCATCCCACAGGCATCAACCGTGGAGGGGCATGCGTCCCACGGCGTGGTCTTGAGCCGAGTATGACGTCTGAAGCGACCGATTTTGCCCAAGCGAGCAATCCCAGCGACCCTGGTAAGCAACTCTCCCACTCGCTGCCAAACAACCTCCCCACCCTTCCAACCAACTCCCTAATGCCATTTCGCTCTCATTTTTAGCACCTCGCTCTCCCCAATCTTCCAGCCAGATGGCCCCTGGTTCCAACATGGCTTCGGGAGACGTCAACCCCAGCCTCAGTTCTCAATCCGGGCAGGTCCGGTTCTCTACGGTAACGGAGGAAATCGAGCCTACCGATCCGTCGTCTTCCGTCAAGTCTCCCGGAGCCGATTCCATCAAAGATACGCAGCATGAGGAGGAACTCCGGTCGCTAGCTGCCAGCTTGCAGCGGTCCCAATTGCAGGAGAATCGATTGCGGCAGTTCTCTTACGATCCCATCTCGTTGCCATCATCTAGAGTATGTATTCTCGATCCCTGGGCGGTGATAGGTGCTTGGGATCATGCAGCTTACAGCAAAGAACATTCCATTTCCGTGGATCGCTTTCGCCTCGCATTGAGCCTGCATAGCCATTCCAGACCTGGCCAGAAGCTGACAGGCATCCTTCCTTACAGGTTGCCTCCCGGGAATCGAGCGACCGCAGTGCACGCGAAGCAAATGGATCGGGCTTCCCCTCGCCCCGAGGTTCCCCACCAGTGTCCGCCATGCAATCACCCCCGCTGACGCCCGCAGCCACACATTCACGGGAGTCCAAGTCCATTGATACTTCTTCCACATCCAACACCACCGATCGGGCTGGTAATGCCGCCCAGTCCACCAATATGACTCCTCCAGCCAGCGCTGCCACACAACACAAGGCTCCTCAGAGCGCCCCCTCCTCCCGTCCATCCTCGACCGATCAACTGTCGAAGCAGAACCAAGTGGCACAAACCTCCTCTCATCCGAACAACGGCGCGCGGCATCGGGCGCAGTTTTTCATTGGTCCCACTGATGGATCCCAGGAAGAGAGCCCACCAGCCACTCCTCGCGGAGATCCCGAGAGCTATACCCCTCCGGGTGCGATCACTCCGGTGGGTGAGCCGAACGACCCGTATGCTCGCAGCAAGCGTCCTCCACAACCGAAGAACCTTGCCCAACTTGACCAGCGCTTCATCTTCGGCAGCCGGGACTCCAAGCGTCGCACCACAACATCGGCCTTCTCACGCCCATTGAGCCCCCGTTCTTCCAGTGCCACTGACCTCCGGTCCAGTGAAAAGCGCAGTGGCTTCTTCAATTCCAAGCGAGAACCGCGACAGCCGGATGCCGAGGGAAAGACCCATGGCCATATGTCCGAGCTGAAGCGCTTCTTCAAGCGCACCCACAACAAACACAAGCGAGGTGATTCACCGTCGTCGATCCCCTTCAAGAAATCGAGTCGATCCTCGGGCAAGGGCGGCCCATTCCACGCGGCAGCCGACAGTGTTCCGTTCGCTGATGATCATGGTCTCAACTCAAAGTATGGAAAGCTGGGCAAGGTTCTGGGGTCGGGAGCCGGAGGCTCGGTTCGGTTGCTTAAGAGGAATAGTGATGGGGTGACTTTTGCGGTAAAGCAATTCCGAGACCGTCATTCCTGGGAGACCATGAAGGAATACTCCAAGAAGGTGACTGCGGAATTCTGCATTGGGTCTACCCTTCACCATGGCAATATCATCGAGACGCTGGACATTATCCAGGAAGGAAGCCACTGGTACGAGGTCATGGAATATGCGCCCTTTGATCTGTTTGCCATCGTCATGACAGGAAAGATGGTCAAGGAGGAGATTGCTTGCTCTTTCAAGCAGATCCTCAGTGGAGTCGCCTACTTGCACGGAATGGGCCTGGCCCACCGTGATCTGAAGTTGGACAATGTGGTCGTCAATGAGCATGGCATCATGAAGCTTATTGATTTCGGAAGCGCTGTGGTGTTCCGATATCCTTTTGAGAATGATATCGTACTCTCTTCGGGTAGGTTTGATTCTGACGTGCTTTGAAAGTCCCTGCTCACAGGTCTGTTAGGAATTGTCGGCTCCGATCCATATCTCGCCCCCGAAGTATACGACGAGAAGAAGTATGACCCGCGCCCGACTGATATCTGGTCCCTGGCCATCATCTTCTGCTGCATGACTTTGCGCCGATTCCCTTGGAAACAGCCCCGTGTCAGTGATAACTCGTACCGACTGTTCGTTTCTACGCCAACTCCTGGAACGCCGGTGCCCGAGGTCGACCCGAAACGCCACCGCGCCGTCAAGTCATCCCCCGATCTTATCACTGCTGCTCAAGAAGGCAAACCCGTCCAGCCCAGCATCAATACTGACGTTGCTGGACAATCTTCCCAAGCGAACGGGCAGCAAGGACAACAGCCTACCGCTGCCGGCGAAGAAAACCAGCCGCCGAAGAGTCCTCAGGACAAGCCGCTGGTCACCAAAGCACCTACAGATAGCAAGAATGCTAATGCGACTACTCACAAGCCTTCTCGTACCACGAGCAAGGAGGCCCCTCCACTTCCGGCGAACGCCCAGGCGGCGGCTCAGCGACAGGAAGTCATCAAGGGGCCCTGGCGCCTTCTCCGGCTCCTGCCCCGCGAGAGCCGGTACATTGTTGGCCGGATGCTCAAGGTGTCGGTGAAGGAGCGCGCTACACTGGACGATGTCTTGACCGATGAGTGGGTGCGCAACATCAAGGCGTGTCGGCAGGAGTTGACTGGCGAGGTCATCCACGCTCCAGGCCATACCCACGTCTTGGAACCCCCTTCGGCCAGTGTGCCAGTTCCCAGCAAGGCCAAGTGATCTCTTATCAAGTGATTTCATCTCTATTCCCACCTGTATAATCCTTATTTTTTCTATTTCCCTTACTTCTCTCTCTCTTTGTCGGAGCAAAAGGGTGTTACGTCCCACATGTCTTATAATCTTCCTCGCCTGGACTACACTACCTCTTCCCAGTTTTCTTCGATTCGTCTGTTTTACATTGATTCCCTTCGACTAGGATGGTGGTCTCGGTGACCTGATTTAATCCGGTCGATTGTTTTTGCGCTTAATGGCGGGGCTCCTGTGCAGTGAGATATAATTGCTGATCGATGGTATTCGCGCCCAAGGCCCTCTCCACGTTGGAAAGAGGGTCGGGGGGTTGTCTTTTGTCGTTGTTTCTTGTTTTCTTCTCAATCTAGGCGTTGCGGTGACTGTCCGTGGAACGGAGCTGCTTGAGCAAATCATTCTTCCCTATAGAGGGTTAGCTGCTAGAATTTTCCTTGTGCCTTGTGCTGTGACATCTCCATCCTTCCGAGCCTTTTTCCAGATTGTTATCCCCGTGCAGGTTTGAGATTGTGTGGAAGAGCAGTTATAGGCAACAGTTATAGGCATAGTAAATATTATCCATGCAAGCATATATCCATGGGGAGTTGGGGCTTGACGTAAGGCGGAGATTGCGGAGTTAGCCCGATAATCGGAGGTTGTCGATCCGCCGACTTCTCTCGGCGGACGGCTTCCCGGCCAGAACTTGCACACGACCACCACGACCACCACCACGCAACAATTGTCTCAACCGTGTGATTTAGCGCGGACGAACATAGTTGCTTGCAGGGTTGCCACAGTTTCTTCTGGGTATTTCAGCCCAAAATCTCTGGCTCGAGCGGCGACTTTCCTTTCCAGACCCCAGCACCATGGCTACAGCCCAGGAACCCGAGCCATTGGTCTCGCTGTGGACGAGATCGTTGATTGTATGCTGTCTCTACCCGCGTGCTGCTTCTTCTCCGACTAATTTCCTGTCTTGTGTTCCAGTCCGGAGCCATTGCCGGCCTGACGGTCGACTGCTCCCTGTACCCGCTTGACACGATCAAAACCCGCCTCCAGAAAGCGCGCACCGCGACGCCTGCCACTGCCAGTACCGCCGCCGCGGTCCCGGCCGTCTCCCTCCGCCAAACCATCCGCGGCATCTACGCCGGTCTCCCCTCGGTGCTCTTCGGGTCCGCCCCCTCGGCCGCCTCGTTCTTCATCGTCTACGATGGGGTGAAACGCCTGCTCCTCGAGCAACCTACCTCGAACTCCACCTCCACCTCCACCTCCACCCCTTCCCGCACGCACATCCTCCTCACGCACTCCCTAGCCTCCTCGATGGGCGAGATCGCCGCGTGCGCCGTCCGCGTGCCCACGGAGGTGATCAAGCAGCGCGCCCAGGCGGGACTCTTCGGGGGCTCCAGCGCCGCCGCGCTCAAGGACATCCTGGCGCTGCGGCACACGGCCGGCGCGGGCTACGGGTCCGTGGTGCGCGAGCTCTACCGCGGCGCGGGGATCACGATCGCGCGCGAGATCCCGTTCACGGTGCTGCAGTTCACGATGTGGGAGAGCCTGAAGGCCGGGTACGCGACGCGGAACGGGCTGGAGATGGTCCCCGCCAGCACCAGCGCCATGTTCGGTAGTGTGGCGGGCGCCATCGCGGCGGGCCTGACGACGCCGTTGGATGTCGTCAAGACGCGGGTTATGCTGGCGCGCCGGTCTGGTGGCGAGGATGGGGGCCGGGGGGGCAAGGTCCGGGTGCGGGAGGTCGTGCAGGAGATTGCGAGGGAGGGCGGCGCGGCGGCGTTTTGGCGCGGGGTGGGGCCCCGCGTCGCGTGGATTGGGATCGGGGGCGCTGTGTTTTTGGGCAGTTATCAGTGGGCGTGGAATGGGTTGGAGGGCGGGAGGGGGAGGAGGCAGAGGGTCAGGGAGGGGGATGCTTTGTAGGTATGCTTCCCGGTTACTTGGTTGCCGGTGTTTGTTGTTGGGTTGGGTGTGGGTTTGATAGAATTTCTTTTATAGATAGGGATTAGACTGGGTGAGATGTATATTATTTATGCTGTACTACAGTATGACAGGTGCATGCATGTAGTTAGCAGGCCGGTGACTCGGGATGATTCGCCCTCAACATCCACTGTAACTGTAGTTCCTGCGTCTGCGTCTGCGCCTCCGTGGCTATCTCCTCCATCTTTCGTTCGCGAGAGGAACTCGTGGTCCTTCATTTCGACCCCAGACACACAACTGTCTGGGGTAGTGTCAGCTCGACCTCACCTCAACATTCAACATTCAACCCACATACTTCTTCCCCCATCCGCCTCATCCTCAGTGTTTTGGTTTTGGCCATCCCGCAGAAGAAAATACCGCTCCACTTCCCCCGCTGCAGCGTATCGATGGTCCGCCCCTTGTTGCGGTGGAAGACGTCCACTGGGAAGGAAGGCATACATGTTTTTGTGCAGATGAGGGAGGAGGGGGAGTGTGGTTGTTGTGGTTGTTGTGGTTGTTGTGGTTGTGGGAAGTATACTCCAAGTAAGAGGTATGGTAGTGGAGGTGGCTATCCTGTAGTCGAGGGGATGTTATTGTTTTGAGAGATTGGATATCTTATACTGATACTGGATCTTATATGCATGTAGTAGGGGGATATCAGAACATGGTATGATGGTTGTGGGGCTGCAGGCTGCACGATGAGGGAGGTGCATGGCTTGTTGTTCAGGGACAGACATTGCACATTATAACTTATTGCAAGCTCCTGATGTGAATAGTGCTTGCAATTGGCGATTGTCAGGGGCATGAATAATCACTGCTATTGATCGAATACTTCCGTACTCTATCTGGGGCAGCTGGCAGTCCCACCAGTTGCCGACCACCCGCCGGCCGTTGGATTTCCTCTCGTCATCCCATCATTCCACCTTCTCCGTCTCCGTTTCTTCTCCATCTCATCTCCCCCCCAACTTCTCCAACTCCTCCTACCTTTACCTTTCTTTCTTTCTCTTCAACAGCATCTGTCGCTTCTCTCCTTCATCCACGGATCAAGGCACTGCCTCTTGTTTCATACCTTCCCCGCTGATGCGTCCCCCGGCCCTGACCCTCGAGTGATCGTCTCGTCTCTCCGCATCCTGCATCGACCTCCGCATTCCCTCGTTATCCTGCTCTTCTCCGCCTCCACCCTGCTGCATGGCGAGGAAACTCAGCCACCAGAGGGTCACATATGGTCAGTATCCTCCTGATTCTACTTATTTCCCTCCTCAATGACCGCTACCTACCCCCCTGTCACCATCGATTCTACTCATCCCACCCCGCGCTTATCGGACACCCTGTGCATGCCTGGGAATGCAGATCCCAACTAACCATGCCCCCGCTCTATAGTGCTCCCTCTGCCTGACGCCCCCGGTGGCCATCGCTTAGGCGTTAATGGCCTGGCAGTCGACCCCGACGAATCCATCCTGTAAGCACGACCGCTCGGTCTCCGAGAAGTACCGCTTGCGCCCGGCGCAATCCTCTGACACCGCCACAACACTAATACCACCGGTCGCACCAGCTACTCCGCAGGTCGCGATGGCGTCGTCTGCTCATGGGATCTCAACTTCTCGCTCACCGACTCCTCCAAGCCCGGCAAAACCACCTTTCGCAACCAGGTCCAGGCGCACAGCCACTGGATCAACGACATCGTGCTGACCAAGAATAACTCCGCGCTAGTCTCGGCCTCGTCCGACACCACCGTCCGACTCTGGCGCCCTCACTCCGAATCCACCGAGGTGCCGGCTCCCATCGGCAAACACGCAGACTATGTCAAGGCCCTGGCCACCCCCGGCAACCACTCGTCGTGGGTCGCGTCGGGCGGCCTGGACCACAAGCTCTACCTGTGGGATCTGAACGGGGGCGGCGAGGTGCTGGGCATCGATGCGTCCGGGGATGATCGCACGGCCAAGGGTTCGGTCTACGCTTTGGGCGCGGTTTCCTCCGTCCTGGCGAGCGGTGGTCCAGAAAACGTGGTTCGCGTGTGGGATCCGAAATCCGGAAAGCTTATCACGAAGTTTGTCGGCCATACGGATAACATCCGTGATATCTTGATCAATCGCGATGGTGACACCATCATGACCGCCTCGTCCGACCAGACCATCAAGATCTGGTCCCTTACCGCGGGACGATGCATGCATACCTTGACCATGCATAATGACAGTGTCTGGTCGCTGCATTCCAACCACCCGCAACTGTCTGTATTCTACTCTAGTGACCGGTCCGGTCTCGTCGCCAAAACCGACACCCGGAATTCTCCGGACATTGAGCAGGGCACGTGCGTGGCGGCTCTGCAGGAGCACGAGGGCGTCATCAACGTTGTAGCCGCAGGCGATTACATCTGGACGGCAACCCCCAAGTCGAGTATTCATCGCTGGCGGGATGTGGACACCACGGCTGAGATTGAGCCTCCCGCGCGAGACCGGAATGTGCAGAGGAGCCAGGCAACCACGTCTGCGCCGTCAGACGGCCGGCCCAAGAAGATCCCCTATGAATCGGTGCTGTTGCTGTCGCCCACCTCGACCTTCCCTAATGCGCGCCCCTTAGACGATGAGACTCCGCGCTCGGGGCCGACTTCACCTCGGCTCTTGTCTGGGTCTGACCTGGACGATGAGTTGGGGTTGACGCTGCCGATCCAGGCATTACCCGAAGAAACCATCGAAGGTCAACATGGGCTGATCAAATATTCCATGCTGAACGACCGCAAACGGACACTGACTCAAGACTCCGCTGGTGAAGTTGTTCTGTGGGATTTGCTCAAGGTATGGTTGCCAGTTCTTCGAGTGAGGTGACCGCTCTAACACAGCACCAGTGTAAACCAATCCAATCCTTCGGCAAGAGACACATGGACGACGTCGCATCCGAGATCAACACAACCGAGAGCATCGCTCACTGGTGTACTATCGACATTCGCACCGGACGTCTGTCGGTGATTCTTGAGCCTGGCCGGTGTTTTGATGCTGAAGTGTATGCCGACGAGTCGGATCTGGCGGACCAGTCGCAATTTCGGGAGGACCAAAGGAGTATGTTCTTTTCCTTTCGCAGGATTCTAGCTACTGACAATGATAGTTAATCTCGGAAAATGGATTCTGCGTTGGCTTTTTGCGCCTCTGGTGCAAGAGCACGTTCAGCGGGACGCTCTGTTCCGTGCTGCGATGGTAGCCAAGGCGGAAGAACTGGCTCGCTTGACCAGCACGGGCGCGTCAGCTCCGGTCGATATCCCATCGGCAGATCCCTCGCGGCGGGCGTTGGGTTTGCAATCGCCGCTAGACCCCTTCACAGCCACTTTTAGGTCTGGTTACGATTCGATCGGGAGCCCTACGACGCCCGGCGGGTTCGGCATCGGGTATGCCGGCAGCCCGGCGACCATGGGATCGCCCATGTGGACTTCCAGCTACATCAACAATGCGAGTCATCTGGGCACCTCTCCGGGAGATTCGACGTCGGAATATCTCATGTCGCAGTCGCAGCAGAATGCGGACATGACCCGGGCCTCTTTCTCGGATCGCTCCAGCGACTACTTTTCCTCGTCACGAAACCAGGGCATGGGCTCGCTCGACACGGATAAGGTGCCGACTACCCCCGGCGAGCCGACCCCGACGGCCCTTCCCCAGTCTCCGGTCGAGCCCGACAAGGAGGAGCGGAAGCGCGGCGCGTCGTTGTTCGGGAAGAAGTTCCGCATGGATTTCCCCAAGAAGCTGGGGCGGACTTCATCGGAGGTCAAGCCGCAGGTCCCCGAGGAGAAGCCGGAGGAGTCGGATAAGTCGTCGATCAAGGAAGAGAAGGTGTTTGAGACTAACCTGGGAGGGTTCATTGAGCGGACGCGGCACGAGTATGAGGAGTTCATGTCTGCCAACCCTGGCCGGGAGTTGACGTCGGCGTTCACACCGAGCCCAGACAACGAGACTCCGGTGCTGGACATTCCCCCGCGCACTGTGGTTTTCATCCAAGAAGAGTCGGGTGATACTGCTGTGGCGTCTGACCTGTACCGAGGAACGGTTGGTCGGATCAGCGAGGAAATCGACAAGCTGGAGAAGTCGATACCCTTGTGGCTCGCCGAGCTGCTTTTGAAGGTACGCAATGAGCTAGTATTGGTCTGTCAACGACTAACAACCTGCAGAATCAAGTGCCCGTGAAAGAGCCGGTCAAGATCGCTTTCACACTGAAGCCATACGATGATCTGTTGCCCCCTGTAGCCAAACCCGAGTAAGTTTTGTCCTGATCGTGTTCGAGCGACGCTAAGAAGGAAGACCGCCCGGGAGCCCCAATGCCAACAACAACCGCCTCAACGCGAATCGCATGCTGCGCGCCAAGAAGATCCTGGCCTACGTGGCGGAGCGAATCGATCCTCCCAACCCCCAGCAGCCAGACGCAACCCCCATGAAAGCCGAGGAGTACCTGGAGCTGTATTGCCAGAAGATGGTACGTTGTTCTTTGCTGCTGGTTGATCGCCTCGGCGTTGCTAACGTGCCCCAGCCCGTCCCCCCGAACATGACGCTGGCGACGATCCGGGCGCACATCTGGCGGTCCTCGGGCGACATGGTTCTGTACTACAAGGCCAACGGGAAGAAGGAGATCCGCATGCCGGCGCCCGAGGAGGAGGAGAAGGAGACTGGGTTTGGGACGGCGTTGGCGTTAGGCGAGGCGGGCAGTGCGCCGCCGGCCAGCATTCGGTCGCACGCGGCTTCTGGCTCGGCGGTCTCGGTCAGCAATGCTTAGGGGAGGGATGTCTTGTTGATAGTTGATGGGCTCATCTGATGATGGGCCGGTACATACACCTGTGGATTTGCGATACCAAGATATGTGCGATCTGCGCAGCGAATTGATTTGTTGAATTAAAGGAGCGTAGTTTCACGTCTCCAGTACTACAGTACTACGCCGTCCCGTCGTATAAAATGCAATCCCGATAAGCGGTGCCAAGAGCGGCAATCGGCAATCTTATCAGACAGTCTTCTATCAATTTCGCCCTTTCCGCCATCCGCCATCCGTCATCCTCCCATCAACAACTTGAATGTTTGGTCCCCCTGGCCAGCCATGGCCATTTCCGAACTGCGGTCCCACAAGAACCCGACCGCGATCACCGTCGCGCAGTTCGTGAACGCCTTCCAGCGAATATGGCGCGACTCGAGGATGGGCGGGGGCCCGCGAGCGCAGGATCCCCGTGCCCGGTTCCCCTCGCGACTGGGTGCGTTCTTCCCCAGCCCCTACCCAACTCGGGAAAACCACACTCATAGCATACAGGCCTCGCCGTCAGCGGCGGCGCCGACAGCATGGCGCTCGCCTACCTCTGCCGCGAATGGGAGAAATCCAGCAGCAGCAGCAGCAGCAGCAGCAGCACCTCCTCCTCCTCCAACACAAGCGGTAGCACCACCACCAGCAGCGGAGCTAACGATCCCAGCACGATCCCGCCGGGAATAAACCTAACAGCCTTCATCATCGACCACGGCGCGCGCGCGGAGAGCGCCCACGAAGCCGCCACCGTCGCAACCTGGCTCGCCGCCCTGGGCATCACGACCCGCATCCTCCCGCTCGACTGGTCCGCCCTGACCACCACCCCGCACACGCTGCCGGCGTTCGAGACGCACGCGCGCCGCCTCCGCTTCCAGGCCCTGGGCCGCGCCTGCCGCGCCGCGCGCATCGACGCCCTCCTGACGGGCCACCACCGCGACGACGCCGTCGAGACGACCCTGTGGCGGCTGTGCACGGGCGCGCGCGGCGCCGGCGGGCTCGCGGGCATCCCGGCCTGCGCGGGGGTGCCCGAGTGTCATGGGGTGTTTGGGGTGTGTGGGAGTCGCGGGGTGGTGGGGGTGAGGTCTTCGTATCCGACCCGGGTGGATGCGGGCCTGCAGCACCAGCACCAGCAGCCGCAGCCGCAGCCGCAGCCGCAGCATCTCCAGGCGGCAATGGCAGCAATGGCAACCGGAACCCTCCCAATCATCCGCCCGCTCCTCGGCTTCCCCAAATCCGATCTGCTGGCCACCTGCGCCGTCCATGGGGTGCCGTTCGTCGCCGACCCGACGAATTTCGATCCGACGCTGACGCCCCGCAATGCGATTCGGCGGTTGTTGGCCCAGGACCAATTGCCGCGGGCGTTGCGGGCGGAGAGGGTGGTGGGGTTGATGGGGGCGAGTCAGCGGCTCCTGAGACGGGCGGAGCAGGCGGCGGAGCGGGTGCTGGGGTCGTGTCGCGTCGGGGGGTTCGTGCCGGAGACGGGGGTGCTGGGGGTGCGGTTTGCTGTTTCTTCTGAGGGTGAGGGGGATTCTGTCGATCAAGGGGGAATGCGTGGCATCCAGATCCAGGCCCGCGCGCTCCGCCGCATCACGGAGCTCGTCGCCCCGTTCCCGGATCACCATTTCCCGCTGCGCGCGTTCGAGGCGTTCGTGGCGAGGGTGTTTCAGCAGCCGCCGCAGGAGCAGGAGCCGGAGCAGTCGTTCACGCTAGGCGGCGTCCTGTTCCAGCCTTGGTCGTTGCCCCCGACAAAGAAGGGCGAGGAGAGTACGAGTCTATTCCAGAGCCCTGCTGCAGCTCACACCCACGGATCGGATACCCAGGAATTTAGCAGCAACAGCAACAGCAACAGCAACAGCACCCAGAAAACATGGCTCCTCTCCCGCCAACCGTACATGAAGAACCGGCTCCCGGAGTTGAACATCCACCTCGACTGCACGGAGGGATCTGTTTTGCCGAAGCACGAGCAGGAGCAGAAGCAAGACCAACCCCAAGACCAAAGCCAAGACCAAGACCAAGACCCAGACCCAGACCAAGAACAATGGCACCTCTGGGACAACAGATACTGGTTCCGCCTAGGCTGGACCAGCAGCAGCACCACCACCACCAAGCAATCACAATCACAACCATTACCCTCCAACCCCAACCCCAACCAAACAATCCACCTCCGCATCCGCCCCCTCCACAAATCAGACCTCACCCGCCTCCGCCAGACGGAAGCACAACCCGAGAGCCAGACCGAGCGTGCTGGCGATAGCGATAGCGATAGCGATAGCGATAATGCTAGTGCACACGCCACCACGAACCAGAAGCGAGAAATCACAGACCCCAAGGCCCTCACCCGCCTCCTGGCGCAGGTCAGTCCCGGCCGCATCCGCTTTACGGTGCCGGTGTTAGTGCTGGTGCGGCGGCGGCGGCAGCAGCAGCAGCAGCAGCAGCAGCAGCAACGGGGGAAAGCAGAACGGGGGGTACTTGCAGAAGCAGAAGCAGAAGCAGAGACAGAGGAAGAAATCCCCCTCGCGCTCCCCACGCTGGATCTGTGGCTTCCTTCTTCGCGCCCTGTCAGACAGGACCTAGAATGGCTGGGTGGGGGTGAGCAGAGCTTGAGCTGGGAATGGCGGTATAAGATGGTGGATCGGAACACGCTGAGGCTGATGGGTTGGGAGGAGGAGGAGTAGTCACTTCACCTGCTACTGTACTGTACTGTACATACTGTATATCATGTTCACACAGTCAATCTAATCGAACCTACTAACTGACTACCAACTACCAGTTCCCCCCCCCCCCGGCAATATCAAGATATCATGCTCCGTTGGTGACACACATCTCTTCAACCACAGAAGCTGATCCACCTACATATACAATGCACAAGAAGTTCTCTGATTGATTAACCAGCAGTATTGAAAGTTAGACCCGTAGGCTATACACTCCGTGACCATGCGACCCAAGAACCCCATCTTCCCCAAAAATCAGACCCGCCATTGCCCCCATAGCCAAAGGAAACACGGATGCTATGCCCCATCCAATAAAAGAATGCCTATAGACACACACAAAGAAAAGATCAAAGGAAAGACCCGTCAATGCAACAACGAAGAGTCAGGCAATTGGCCTGGTGTAGTCCTCAAACTCACTCACTCGCCTTCAGCAAGGCAACGGCCGCCTGCTGCGCGCGCAACCCACCCACCTCACGCTTCAGTCGGAAATTCTCCTTCTTCAGGCGACCAATCTCCTCCAGCGCGGTCGACAGCTGCGATTTCAGCGACTCTTCCCCGTTCCCCGTCCGCACGTCCTTGGCGATCTTCTCCAGCTCCGTGTTGAACCGATCATACAGAGCCTCGTTCTCGGCGCTGGCCTCCCGGTAGAGCTCGTCCAGCTTCTTGGCCCGGCGCTCGCTCACCACCAACGATGACTCCAGGTCCCTCTCGATCGAGGCAGTCCGGCCATGCATCTCCTCCGAGAACGTCTCGAATCTCGTCTCGAGGCTACGAACCCTGGAAGCCAGCGCGGCGTTGGCGCTCGAAGGGGCAAACGGCTCGTCAAGCGAGTGAAGCTTGCTATCTCCCTTGTACGGCGTCGGGTTCAGTCTCAATGCATTGAGCTCCGCGCCAATCAGCTCGAGCTCATCCTTCAATCCCAAGGACGCGATATTTTGAGCCTTCTTTTCACTATTCAAACGATCCCGGAGCTGCAGATTGTTAGAATAATACCACACACCAGATAAGAATAAGCTCACCTTCTGTGGACTTTGCAGACGTAGTTTCGGCGTCTTTTGCGAGCCTAGCGTCGGCTGTAAGCGTCTCGCGTCCGAGCCATTGATCTGCATCGGTCGCTCCTTCAAGCCAGGCGCTCTGGAAGAGGGGATGCTGGTTGCCCGCGACCGCCTCTTGATATCCGGGGGAGGAGATCCCGTTGCGTCGGCCTTCTTTCTCGGGGCTCGGTCGGTTTGCGGTAATTTGGGATCGATATTCTCCTTGCGACTGGGTGTGACGGGGCGGGTCGGCGATCGGCGGGTTGGCGACGCCAGCCGCGTGGGCGAGGCACTCTTTGCAGGGGATGTGCTGCGGACCGAGCCCGAGCCGTGACTTGTTTGCGGCCGTGTCTGGCCCGCTGGCGTCATCGTCTCCGCTCGCGGCTGGTTAGGAAGCGACGATGACGGCGTCATGGGTCTCTGTCCTTGGCTGGTAGATAAGATCGACACGTCAGATGACGCTGTGCCTGGTCTGATGTCGGACAGAGAACTCCGCCGTCTCCGCCTGATCCTTACCACCCCATTAGTAGAAATACCTCGAATGGAGGATAACGAAGAAGCCTCGTCCTGAGAGCTTCCGGGACGACGAAGATGCTCTTGTGACGTGGACGCCCCCGGGCGATCGCGGGAGCCTGGCCGCAGTAACGAAACCAGCCCCGTGTCGACGTCGATGGACTTGGACCGGAGCAGCAGTGACCCTCGTGGCGTCCCGGGCTCAGAATCGCCCGATCCTTTACTCTTGCTCAGCGTACGTAAAATGGACGATACTTTACTCTCTGTTTCCGACTTGGAGTTATCGCGGTGCAGGCTGAATCCGAAACGTTTCCGAAACGACGACGCATTGGAGTTCATCGAGCCCGCCGTCTGGGACACCGACTTGGTTTGGTCGCAATTGAGCGTCCCTTCCAGGTCGGCGCCTCCGGGAATATACTCGTCGAACAAATTATCAAAGTCATCCACGAGACGATCCAACAGGGAAATGTACTGCATCGGATCTCCCTCGACCGTCAGGACCTCTGCAAAGGCTGCCGTCAACGCACCACGATCTCCGTCATTCCCCGAGGCATCGAGAAGCTCTGCGAGCAAGCGAATCATGGAAGCGAGCGCACGGCGATTTTGGGGACTCATGTCAGCAAGAAATCGGCGGAAGCTCTCCTCGAAATCTCGCGGGAACATGCTGTCAAATTGGCTCTGCAACGAGTTCAATGAAGACGAATCGATCACGGGCCCCATGTGTTCGCGCCATGCATTAGCCATGAACGTCTCAAAAGCTACGAATAATGTATCGACCGACACCTCAGCCGCAGCCTGGATCTTGCCTGGGTCTTCCAGAAGGATATTATACAGCTCATTGACTGACGAGCGATCCACGTTGTCTCGGCCACGTAGAGAGCGCCCAACAATGTTTCCACTCCGAGATTGCAGAGCAAGAGCGAATGCGGCAAAGGTCTGCTCCAGAGCGCTGAATGGACTTTCTTGCCCCCTCGAAGGCGGCGCGCCAACCACAGAAATTTTCACCGGGCTCTCTTCTTTCCCGGGGAACGCCGAAGGTAGAGTATTGGAACGTGGAATGTTTCCTCGAGGCGGCGGCATGCGAGGGAATTCACCAAGTAGCGCTGCTGAGCTGGGCATTTTTATGCTGCCCGCGCTGTTCTCCTTGGGTTGGTGGCTACCCAGCAGACTCGACAGTAGCTTCGAGGCCGATGGCGGTCGAAATCCACGCGGGACCTTGAAGTTGGCCATGAGATGACCGGCGAGATACCGCAGGATCTCAAAGTTGGAATGCACTATCGATTCGGTCATCGTGCGGTTCTGCGGGCCATGCAGCGGGAGTAACACATTAGACACTAACTGCAGTCAGCAAACAAACACACACACAGGCATTGATTATACTCACGGCGCTTAGACAGGACTGCAACGAAGCTGTCCGCGGTCACAAGATCGGAGGATGCATGGCCCACGACGGAGTCAATGTCCACGCGAAACTGGTCCTCGCTCGACGCGGAGACCGACACAATAACCTCGAGATCGGAATTCGATAACGTTTGACTGCAGACCGCGCGGGGAGTATTGAACACCATCCGGATTTTCGATGCACTGGGTCGTTTGGCGGCCGTCTCTTCCTCCTCGAACACACATGCCAAAACCCCGAGATTGGCCACCGTCCCGGATGGGCTGCGCAGGGTCCACTTTCCATTCTCTCGCTCACTTTCCGAAAATCGACCTTCGATTTTGGCCTTCACAATCTCCTCGATGATGCGACTGGCGCGTCCTTCATACATGGACACGGGCTCCAATGCAAGCAGGTCGACGGTGGTGTTTTGATTGGGCCGCGACTTCACCGACATGGGCGCTAGGAACAGAATACGTCCACAGTTAGACTGCATGCATCGGACATTGTGCAGATCGTACACTTGGACCACCCGCAGCTCTGGTACCAGCGGAATATTGGTGGCTGCCGGAGTGGCTGATGCGGCGTTGTCTAGATCCGCCAGAAGACCGCGCGCGGTTGTTCGACCTCCCATCGCCTTAGACAACAAAACTAGGCAGTTCTTATAAATCAGCATGATCCCCGGGCTGGGCTCCTCTGCAAGATCAAGATGGTACGGCGGCGACAGCTCGTTGAAATCCACCGCTGTGATGAGACGGCCGGCTGGCAGTATGGTGGATGGCCAGCCGTCGACCAGCTCCTTCAGCCGCCGAAAACTCTGATCATGGTTGGCGGTCGAGGCGTCGTCGAGGGAGCAGATGTCTTTGATGACATCCCGCGCCTTCAGCAGTGGGCGCACGGCCGGGTGTACCAACGGCAGACTACTAGTCATTGTGTCGATGAGGAGACTATATCGGGGCAGACGCTGAACAGGCTCCATGAGAAGTGAGCGGAGTTTCTGTTCCCCCGTCTCGTATACGCGCTTGGAGAAACTGGAATTCTTATCTTTCATGAACGAGTTCAACGTCTGAGTGAAGCCGGTATGGGCCCGCATGTAGTCCGCATACGGCTCGGAGAATTGAGGGAACCAGTCCAGGAGTGCGTCTGCAAATGCCACCGCACCGATAGTGTCTTTGTCCTCCCTGGACGATGTGCGTTGCGACATGGACGATGAAAGCTCCGTATCTTCAGTCATATCTGCAATAGCGTCCTTCTCTGTCTCTTCCAAGGCTTGACGAATCACACTCAGAAAACCCATGTTGACCTGAAGGATTTCATTCAAGCACGGGGGAAACAGAGTCGCCAGATCAGCCTCGTCCGGACTCGTACTCGATGACAGGCGCAACTGGGCTTTCATTCGGTATTCCTCCGCCACCTGGCAGACAAGGGTGTATAGCTTATTGACGTAGCGCTCCTCCGTATCCACCAGCTCGCACATGGTCAATCGCAAAGCCTGTTTTTGACCGGCGGAGAATATTTTCGATTTGCTCACGTTGGTCGGCTGGGAAGGTGCGCGCTTGAGTCGGGAGGTGGGAAGGAACATGGGGGCGCCCAGGGTCTGGATGAGAGCGGTATATGGGCCATATCGGGGATCGGGGCCGTCATAGAAGTCTGCATTGCCATCATAAACATTATCATCATTAGCGGGCTCGGGCACTTTGATCGTCCCGGCAGGCAGGACGACATCGATATCGACCCAGGGCACCTTGCGCTCCTGGAAGGCGCCTCGGATGTCGCGCACTAACTCGGAGGCGTGATCAACTTTTGTCATTCGATTCGCCAAATCGGCGGCATGCATCTCGTCGAAGAGCTTGGGAACCTTGACACCTGGTTTTCCTGCGCGAGCCATGGCCTGGAGGCATTCTTTGGCTGGGTCGGACAGCTCTGCGAAGTACTTCAGCATGCTGACGGCCAGGCCGCGACTGACCTCGTCGCCTTGCTTCTCGCGGGGGAGGTGGTTGACGGCGGCGTACAGCGGGGCGGCGGGAGAGACGGTGATGCGGGGATAGCTCTGGAAGCCGGCGGGGGTCACGATATGCGCCTGGATGCGCGAGCTGCTGACGGTGGCATTTGCGGTCGCGACGGGGCCGTAGAAGACGAAGACGGAAGCAATGTAGGGGTCGGAGGCGTGGTAGAGCGACAGCTGCTCGAGCGGCAGGTCCGCGGGGGCGTTGGTGACAGTCGCCATGTTGGCGGAGATGGCAGGCGCTGCACTCGCATACAACCGCGGAGGGAGGAAGGAGCGAAATCACACCCGCTCGACAAAATTAGATTAGACACAAAAGTATAAGTCTGCAAAATGATTATAGATGATGAGGACAAGAGAAAAAAGGTTGAGACGGTTAGTCACGGAAGTTTTGGTGTTGGACGACAAGACCAGGACAGTCGGAGAGGGGAACAATTAAAGAGGGTCGATGACAAGCGAAAGATTGACCAAAGACATAATACTATTGGGTGTGGCGCAAAGGAAAAGAAACGAAGGACAGGCGTTATACAATGCGAAGGACAAGAGAAGGACACCCCTCCATGGGCAGAGGATGAGGCAAAAAGATGAAGAGAAGGAAAGAGGTAGAGTGAGAGAAAGAGAAGAAGAGGAAGAGGAAGAGGAAGAGGAAGAGGAAGGGAAGAGAGTGCGAAAGTGATGGGAGAAGAGGAGGACGAAGGACGAAGCCGGGAAGGTTGGGTGACAACTGCAGCCAGCAGTTGAAGGTGGAGAGGGGGAGGGGACGAGGGGACGAGGGGACGCGTTTCTCGGCGGGCGCAAAGCAAGAAGCCGGAGAAGTGGGCAGTGTGAAAGAAGTGGCAGTGGCAGTACAAGTGATACTAGTGGAGAGGAAGAAGAAGAAGAAGAGGGGCAGGACACAACAAGTCTAGACAGGACAAGACAAGGACACTGCAGGGGACGACGACGAGGATTGATTGATTGATTGATTGATTGATTGATTGATGATGGATGGATTGAGTGTCTCTCTCTAACAAGGCCGAGTGGCTGGCCTTCAGCTCAGCTCCGCATGGATCTGGCCGATGGACGGACTAGTGCTGATTGGGTGGGATTACAAGCGATAGTATGGAGGTTATTATTGTAGTCAATTAGTGTAGATTGTCAAGTGCTGATTGTGCTGGAAATAGGCACTTCATCCACTATCTAGAAGTGATTCTATATTGCAGAATGACTTTTGCAGTGAGTGTCCCTGACAGATCTGTATCCATGGACACGGACGCGACACGTGTAGAACCAGTAGAACCAACCCAGTGTCAACACACACACAACGGTCTAGAAAAAGTGGATAAGAGCTTGACATCATGTTCCGACTGCAGGGGTTCAACCTCTGCCTGCCCTGACTGCCCTACGCCCGGCTGAAATGGCAGCTTTGCCCGACGACGGGTTCATGACAGTTTAATTATCTAACTGGGGAGCTGGTGAGGATACGGAGTGGGCGATGGAAAAGGGAAATGGTGGAGACACCGCCTTCAGCCTGGTTGCTTTCTTCCTTCAACCATGGATGCGCCCTTGGCATCCAGACAATCTTATTTCCACCCGATTTTCGAGGAGGCTGGGAGGCTGGGAATAACTTCGTCATCCGAGCTGCGATCTGACTTGATTTAATCCATTCCGTCATCGGCTTTCGCCTGCAACACGCGTTTCGGCCCCCAACTAGGGGAGATATAGACTATTTCGAGACACAAGCTGCCATCTTTGCTGATATATTTTGGATTAGCACGTTAGTCCAGTGATGCCTGCATGGTGAGGAAGGATGGTGACGACAGGACTTGTTGAAGTGGTAATATGACAAGCGATAATTGGTATAGCAATGAGTGGGCTCTACTGTGGTCAGTAGTGTAGTGTCTGTAGTTGAGAGCGATAATTGAACTTCAATGCACAATCTGATAAGTGAAGTCACTCTCGATGTAAATTTGTAGGGTGCAGTACCTCCCTTCAATGTCTCCCCGGGGTAGCCATCACGCTAATCCCGATTGGGACGGCTGTGATCTCTCCGCCTCGGAGCAGCAGAATACTGACCAGCTGTTGAGTTCCCGCCGCCCGCATACAGTACATGCCCTTCCCTTGCTCTCTCTATCTCCATCTTCACCTCTCTCTTGCTCTCTTCTTGCTGAACTTCTTCCCCTCTGGAAGGGCCATGGTTTGACATTGCTCCTTCGCTGAGCAATCTCCTTCCGCTCTCTTTCAATCCACCTTGACATCCTCGCCCCCATCTCCTCCTCCCTGCTCCCCCCATCGCTCGTTATGTCGTCCTCAACCCTCCCCATTGCGGTCGACCCGGTCGCGCTGGTGATCACAGAATGTATCACCGTCACCTCCGCCATGCGGAAGCACACCCGCTGGGCTCATTCTTCCGTTTCGGCCATTCTAGGAGGGGGCGCTGTCTCACGAGTCTACGACCGTGATACCTCGACCCCTCCGAGTCCGCGGAATGGCAACACGCCCACGCGGCCATCCTCCCGCCTGTCCGCCGCCGACGATGACCATGTCTTAGCTAACCGATGGGGCCTGAGAGGGAAGAAGGGCAAGAGCATGCAAGATAACCCTCTAATTTCTGCCTTTACCAGATTACGGAGCGATCTCAAGGGCTGCAAAGATATCCGAACCTTCGATGCCCCCGCCTTGCTGCATCCGTTCCTCCAGGTCGTTCGTTCCTCGTCCACCTCAGCCGCAATCACCTCCCTGGCCCTGGTGGCCCTCACCAAGTTCTTCGCCTACCAGATCATCAGTCGCGACTCACCCAGGCTGCCCATGGCCATGCAGCTCCTCTCCGCCGCCATTACCCACTGCCGCTTCGAGGCCAGCGACTCCGCCGCCGATGAGATCGTCTTGCTGCGCATCCTCAAATTGATGGAAGGCATGCTGTCGCGACCGGAAGGGGACTTGCTGGGAGATGAGAGTGTCTGTGAGATGATGGAGACCGGTCTGAGTATGTGCTGTCAGGTCCGTCTATCGGAGGTCTTGCGGAGATCCGCTGAGATGGCCATGGTCAACATGTGCCAGGTCATCTTCTCCCGCTTGACTCACCTAGACGTCTCGCAAACGCTGGAAACAGACTTGGAGACCCGGGCACCCAAAAACCCGGAGCAGGCGAATCTCAAAATGGATCCTTCCGTTGATGGAGACACAGTGACTTCCCAGCACCCATCCGCCATAGGTTCGGACACAGCCATTACAGAGCGGGAACGCAGCAGTCGAGACAGTACTCCCGATCAGTCGCTGAGCGGAGCCGCCGTGACCGCTCCCCCCAATCCTCAAGATGATGATGGCGAAGATATCAAACCATATTCACTACCCTCAATCCGCGAATTGTTCCGAGTTTTGATCGATCTTTTGGACCCGCACAACCGCCAGCATACCGAGCCGATGAAGGTGATGGCCCTCCGGATCATTGACGTGGCTCTGGAGGTTGCTGGCCCGTCCATCGCAAAGCACCCGAGTCTAGCCAACCTAGCACAAGATGACTTGTGCCGCTATCTCTTCCAGCTGGTCCGCTCCGAGAATATTGCCATTCTGACGGGATCGCTCAGGGTGGCAGGCACTTTGCTACTGACTTGTCGCTCGGTGCTGAAGCTTCAGCAGGAGCTTTATCTGTCGTACTTGGTCGCCTGTCTCCATCCCAAGGTCGAAATACCCAAGGAGCCAGGAATCAACCCGGCTCTGTACGATGGGGTACCCCAAAGGCCCAAGTTGGTGAAGCCCTCTCCTTCGCAATCGAACAGCGGGCGGTCGACTCCGGTCCCTGTGAAAGACCGCCAGAAGCTCGGTCTCGAAGGAGGCTCTCGGAAGCCGGAAACCCGCGAGGCGATGGTGGAGAGTATCGGCGTGCTGGCACGGATCCCAAGTTTTATGGTGGAGTTGTTTATCAACTACGACTGCGATATTGATCGCGCGGACCTCTGCGAGGACATGATTGGGTTGCTTTCTCGGAGTGCGTTTCCCGATTCAGCCACCTGGAGCACGACCAATGTGCCACCTCTGTGCTTGGATGCTCTTCTGAGCTATGTCCAATTTATCTACGATCGCTTAGACGAGGAGTTCCCGTCAGAGGGCTTTCCATCGAAGGATGAACTTCACCATCAGCGTCGGACCAAGAAGATCATTATCAAAGGAGCTCAGAAATTCAACGAGGACCCCAAGGCTGGAGTCGCTTACCTCGCCTCTCAGGGAATCATCGAAAACCCCGACGATCCGGTCCTCGTCGCTCGTTTCTTGAAAGGGACCACTCGATTGTCAAAGAAGGTTCTGGGCGAATTCATCTCCAAACGTTCGAACGAAAAACTGCTTGATGCTTTTGTCGATCTCTTCGATTTCTCCGGCCAGAGCGTGGTCGATGCTCTCCGCGATCTCCTGGGCGCGTTCCGCCTGCCCGGTGAATCGCCGCTGATTGAGCGCATCGTTACTACCTTTACAGACAAGTACATGCAGAAGGCTCGGCCCACCGAAATTGCGGACAAGGATGCCCTCTTCGTGCTGACTTATGGTATTATTATGCTGAACACTGATTTATACAATACGAATATTAGATCGCAGAATCGCATGTCCTGCACGGATTTCTCTCGAAATCTGCGGGGTGTCAACGCAGGCCAGGACTTTGCGCCAGAGTTCCTGCAAGGCGTCTATGACTCTATCAAGCAGAATGAGATTATCCTGCCTGAGGAGCATGATAACCAGCATGCATTCGATTATGCATGGCGGGAGCTACTGCTGAAGTCCTCTTCGGCCGGCGAGCTTGTGGTGGGCGAGACGAATATCTATGATGCGGAGATGTTCGAAGCTACCTGGAAACCCGTGATTGCGACTCTGTCGTACGTCTTCATGTCTGCCTCGGACGATGCCGTCTATTCTCGCGTGGTGACGGGCTTCGACCAGTGTGCACAGATTGCTGCCCGCTATGGTCTGACGGCCGCCTTGGACCGCATTGTCTTCTGTTTGGCTTCGATCAGCACTCTAGCCACGGAGAATCCCCCCAGCACCACCCTCAACACCGAGGTGCAGGCTGGAGAGAAGAGTGTGATGGTCAGCGAATTGGCCGTCAAATTTGGACGCGACTTCCGAGCTCAATTGGCCGCGGTGGTTCTCTTCCGAGTTCTCGCGGGCAATGAGGCTACGGTTCAAGAGGGCTGGACCCATGTAATCCGCATTCTCAACAACCTTTTCATCAACGCTCTTATTCCCCCCTTCGCTTCTACTCTCAACGCGGAGCTCGAGTTGTCGCCGATCCCGCTGCAGAACCCCTCGCAAGTCGTGGAGCGCGACGGACGAGGCGCTGAGACAGGCCTGCTGTCTGCGTTCACCTCATATCTGTCCAGCTACGCAGCGGATGAGCCTCCCGAGCCGTCGGATGAGGAGCTGGACAACACGTTGTGCACGGTTGATTGCATCTCAGCGTGCTCCATCGATGAAATTCTGGCCAACATCAAGTAAGTCAGATACACATACATTTGTGGTTTTTGTGTACTAACGGTTCAGGACCCTTCCCTTGGAGACGGTTACGATGCTGGTGGAAGCCCTTTTGGATCAACTCCCTGAAGAAAGCGCCCCGGCCGTTATCGTTGTTAAGTCGGAGCGCCCGGCAGCTGGACCCAGGGCGGCCAACGGCAGAGCCAATGCCAGCAAGCCCAAGTACGATCCGGGCATGCTCTACCTCTTGGAGTTGGCCACCGTCCTCACTCTCCGTGACCCCAAGACATTGGAAAGCCTTGGGGAGAGGCTTTTGACCTCTCTACAAGCTTTTGTCCGAGATGCCCGGAACATCCACTCCTTGGCGCTGTCACGGATCATTTACTACCTCATGAACCTGCTGCGCTTGAGCTATGTACGGCCCCCTCTGCTATCATTTATCATAAGTGTCTGACAGATTATAGGACCAGCCTTATATGCGTGTGCCGGTGATTCTCCATGGGATTTCTGGCTTTGACCAGGACATTTTGGAAAGCATCGCCATTCCTGTAGTCAAGAGCCTTTCACGATGCATGTCTGATGCGGAGGCTCTGCGGAACGAGGTCTCCGCCTCGCCGGACTTCTGGTCTATTTTGCAGAGGCTGCACCAGCACCAGGAAGCGGCTCCGTTGGTGTTCAACCTGCTCCAGACTATTGTAGAGTCGAACCCACCGATTGTCACGGCTGACAACTACGAGTCTGCCGTCAGCCTGGCGAACGACTTCATCAGCGCTGGCAGTGTGGGCTACATTGAAGAGCGACAGAGGGATGCCCACGGCCGACGCAAGGCTGTCAAGCATCCGAGATCTAGTATCGAGAACGAGGTGGTTGCGAGGGGAGTCAAGGCCATCAACTTTGTCTTCCACCTGACCCACCGCATCCCGGCGCTCATCAAGCAGTCGCACCTGGAAGAGAACGAAGGTATGTAGCCAACTCCATCAGTCGAAATCACCAATTGACACAAACCAGCCTGGTCAGCCTACTGGTCTCCGATCTTCCAGTCTCTGACAGCCCAATGCATCAATCCCTGCCGCGACATCCGCCACCACGCCGTCTCGACCCTCCAACGCACCCTCCTGTCCCTCCAGATCAGCGCCACCGACGAGAAGGAATGGACCGCGATCTTCGACCAGGTGCTCTTCCCTCTGATCCTGCGCCTCCTGAAACCCGAAGTCTACCACTCGGATCCCGTGGGGATGGGCCAAACGCGCGTGCAGGTGGCCACACTGGTGTGCAAGATCTTCCTGCGGTATCTGGACCAGCTGCCCAACTGGGACGGGATGCTCGACCTCTGGCTGCGGATTCTGGATATATTGGATCGGATGATGAACAGCGGCCAGGGCGACAGTCTGGTATGTTCTTTTTTTGTGGCCAGCTCAGAACAAGACTAACATCCCCACAGCAAGAAGCCATCCCCGAGAGTCTCAAGAATATTCTCCTCGTCATGGCCGACGGCGGATACCTCGTGCCGCCGTCCCAGGACGACACCAAACAGAAGATCTGGAACGAGACCAAGAAGCGCCTCGACCGCTTCCTGCCCGACCTGTTCCAGGAGATTTTCCCGCCGCAGGATGAAACCAAGCCCGCCGCGTCGGCGCCTGTCTCGGCGGTGCTGTCGCCGTCGCCGTCGCCCCAGCCAGAGACAACAGTTGAGCCCGAGGCGGAACCCGAGGCGGAAGCCGCGAACGACGAGCCCGAGGTTGCTGAGCCTGCGACCACCATCGAAGACCCCGAACCTGCACCTCCCAGCAAGGAGGCGCCCTTGCCCGTCGACAAGGGCAAGAAGGCCGATTAGAACGGCAACGCCGAGCACGGCTTATAACTCCGTCCATGACTTGACGCTAGACAGCCTGCAGACGTGCTGTAGACCTTCTGTTTCTGTCGGGGAATAACCAATCCAACCCGCCAGTCGATTTGTCTTCCACTGCGGCCTAGCGTCGAGTAGGTATATAGCTTCGGGCATTCCATCAGCGTGAGTGTATTATTTTCTGTGGGCGGTTGTGGCCCGTGTGGGGACGCGACGTGACGCGATGGGAACCGGTATTGGTAGTGGTAGTGGTTTTTGTCTATGTGTGCATACTCCTGTAAATATAATCGATCTTCGTCACCCCCTAATAGATCTAATTCTGTTGAAGCTGTGTGTGGTGGATGCATGCATGCATGCATTATGTATGTACCTCCCAGTAGCTGTAGGGTTCGATACCGGACCTCGTCGATAAGATACGATACCCACACTAAACACGCAAAACCCTCTCTTTCTCTGTCCTATGCCTTTAGCATGGAAGACCTTGTCTACAACTGGTGTAGGAGATGGATCAAATGCCAATGGTTAGATAGAAAGATGGATAGAGAGATAGAGGTGCTGCGACCTTCTGTGTCCAACTTCGTTCGATCTCTCAGATCAGGCTCAAGATTTTCGCAGTGGAGTTAAGTATATGCGTATACATGCATACATCCTACTACCTTATTCAGAAGTGTGATCCTTCTTTTTTCCACATGTGGTTGGTAATGGATGCACTACCCTCTTTCTCTTCGGGGTGTGTGCTGCTGGATCCGGTCACCTTCGAGCTCTGTGTTGATATCTTGGGGAAGTTTGGTGGGCCAAGCCCGGCATCGCTATCTAGATGCATGAGATCAGATCCCTTTCCGCGTGTTGGTAGACCAATGATCCAAGCAAAGAACGAGTTTCCAGGGATTGAACTGGTCAGGTTGCTGTACAACAGCGGGTAGGACTAGCGGAGCTGGGGCTGTCGACATACAGATAGACGCTTGTCGGACGGTGGGATGAGAGATATCGACCTTTCGAGTGAGAGGGCTGAGTTCCGTAGCTTGAATTCCATCTCCAGATTCTAATTCCCAGGCGACAGAGTTATTCTGACCATTGTTACTTGTATTGTTGTGTTGGTTGTACATGCGGTGGTAAGTTAAGTTATAACGATAGTCCAGCAAACCCACCACGGGATCGGATCTAGACCCAGATCACCTGACCCAACCGCAAGCTGCCGCCCCGGCCACTAAAGCGGCACCGCTCTCTCTCTCTCTCTCTCGGACAGCCAGCTCCTGCTCCTCCTCCGCCGGCCGCTACGCAAGTTTACAGGACGGAAGCTCCATCTGCACCTCACCACCACCGCGCGCATTTTTTTTTTATTTTCAACACTCTACCCCCTCAATACCTTCTCCCTATCCCACACAAAACGAAAGGCACCCCCAGGTGCACCAGCCGCAAGAATGGCCGCTGTCGCCGCGCCCGCAACAACCACGGCCCCCAACTGCACGTAAGTTCAAGTCCGCCTGAGTCCACATTCACATTCCACATCCACATCCACATCCAAACGCTTTCACGATACCCTACCCTACCCTACCCTATCCTACCCTGTCCCCTACCCATACCAAAGAACCTAAAGCTAACGCGAAACAGAGTCTACGTACGCCCACCCCAAACCCCCAACCCCCAACCCCCGTCAAACCCACTAACCAACCCCGAAAAGGTCCGCAACCTCGAAGAACGCATCAAAGTCGACCAACTGAAGGAATCCCTGGACGAGATCTTCTCGGAATACGGGAATGTGATCGAGATCGTGGCCAAGACGAACCTGAAGGCCAAGGGCCAGGCGTTCGTGGTCTTCGACTCGGTCGAGGCGGCCGGCCGCGCCATCGACGAGATCAACGGCTTCGAGCTGTTCGACAAGCCCATGGTGCTGGAGTACGCGCGCACGCGCAGCGACGCGACGGTGCTGCGCGAGGGGGGCGAGGAGGAGCTCGAGGCGCATAAGCGGCGGCGCGGGGCGGAGAAAGGTTTGTTTTTTTTTCCCCGGTTCTTTCTTGGGATTGGGGGGGGTGCGAAGGGGGCGAAGGGTTTGGATGCTAACCTTCTAATCTTCTGGGCAGAACGCAAACAAGCGCACGAGGCGCTCGAAGCGCAAAAGAAACTCAAACGGCCCTCCGGCGCGGTCGTGGCGCCCTCCGACCCCTCCGGCCGCCCGGCCAAGGCGGCCAAGGGCGCCGGCCTCAAGCCCACCAGCGGCGCCGCCGCGACCGTCATCCCGGACGAGTACCTGCCGCCCAACAAGATCCTGTTCCTGCGGGACCTGCCGGACACCGCCGACCAGGACAGCCTCACCGCGGTGTTTGCGCGGTTCGAGGGCTTCCAGGAGGTGCGGTTGGTGCCGGGCCGCAAGGGGATCGCCTTCGTCGAGTACGAGAACGAGTCCGGGGCCATCAGTGCCAAGGAGGCGACGTCGGGCATGCCGATGGGCGAGGCCGGGAAACCCATCCGGGTCACGTACCAGAGACAATGAGTGCTGTGGGGTTGGTGGTGGTTTCATGTCTGTTGTTGGCGTTTGTGCGGGGTTTATGGGTTTTCCGTTATGCATTATCATCTGGGTGTGCCAATGCTCATCTTTGCTTCCATTGGGGATATGACTTTAACAAAGAAACACACAAATTCTCAAGTGAAGACAATAACAGCTACATGCTCGGAAGTATACTAGGTACAGTACATAACAGGGACAAACGGGGGGCATCGCTGCGCTAGACTCAGAAAATCACGTCGGCATCTTCCTGCTCGCCGAGCACGTCCGGTGCCTCGGGGGCTTCCTCTTCTGCTGCAGCCGCTTTCTCTTCTTCTACCTCCTCGGCGGGCGCTTCCTCTCCGTTGGCTGCCGCCGCCGCCGCGGCAGCAGCGGCAGCCTCCGCCTTGGCCTTGGCCTTCTCCCGCGCAGCCAGGATCTCGGCGTCGGCGGCAGCGGTGTCTCGCTGCTTCTTGCCGGACACCTTCTTGAGACGGTAGAACTCTTCTCTGTCGAGTTCGTCCAGCTCGGAGTTGATATCTGGGATGTATTAGTTGTTTGCCTCACCAAATAGAGAGCTCAAGGTGGTGACTGACACTTGATCGTGTTCTCCGTGCGGGGGATGATAACGTGCTCACTGCGGCCATGATTAGCATCCCTGCCAGCTCTTAGCACAAAGCGATCTTACATAGCATTCACTAGCAGTCGATAACATTATGTTAGCATAGAAACCCCCGTTATTTTTTCAGAGAAACATACCTCTGCGATTAACCACCTTAATGACCTCATCCAGGATCACAAACGCAGTCTATGCCCGAAGAAGTCAGCAAACCCCCGCCCCCACCGTACCTAAAGCCCCAAGCCCCAACCCCCAACCCCCAAGCCTGGAGTAACGTACCTGCAAACTCGCCAACTCGACCAACGTCTCCACCGCCCGCGCGTACGTCTCCCGACAGCGCTGGACCTGCTGCCCACCCTTGCCCAGCCCCGTCAGCCCGAAGTCGTTAATCGCGTCCTCGGTGTAGCTCTCAAAGTGCGGCAGCAGCACGCCGGAGACGTTCTCCTGCTTGGCGCGGACGCGGAACCGCGCCTGCTTGGCCGACTCCTGCACCTGGTAGCCGATGTCGCCGCCCACCGCGTAGCTCACCTCCGCCAGCGAGAAGGCGGCGATCTGCATGACGCGGCCCATCTTCTGCTTGGCTTCGTCGATGCGGCGGGTGATTTCTGTGGCGTTGTTAGGTTATAGGTTATCTGCATGGTGGAGGATGGAGATCGTAGGCGGAAAGTGCGCGCAGGTAGACGGGAGCTCTTCAGAGAGGGGGGTGGAAAGGAGAGGGGAGCGGGATGGGGGAGGCAGGGGACATGGGACATGCAAGCAATCATACCGCGGAAACGTCTGTGCAGGAGTATACAATGTCAGTTTCTATCGGAATGTTTCCTGGTAGAAAGAGAGCAGTTAAGATTAGACTCACTTGGTAAGAGCTTCGGATTTGCGCTTCAGTAAACTGTGACCGGTCTCGGCGCCCTTCAACTTCCCCTTCATCAACCCGAGGGACTGGCGAGTCGGGAAGACTGCCTCACGGCCCTGGCATTATTCAACATAAGTGACCGAGCTTGATGTTAAGATTGAAGTGGATCAGTTGCAGAATCACATACCACCGCACCCGACATTATGAGAACACTTAAAGATAAAAAAAAAAGAAAGGACAAAGGCCACGGATATCCAGCTGGAGGAGGAACCGATAGGAACGGAGAGCGGCTCAAGCCATGCCATGACGATTAACTCAACTGATAAGTCAAGACGCAGCAACAGTGCCAACGCTCGGACCAACCCGTGCCCGCCGGGGCGCATGACACCCGGTCACGTGCCCGATTTGCGACCTCCATCGCCCGCCAGCTTGGAAACAGCACGTCGAAACCCCCTCCTCTCCCTTCAAAGCAGCGACGAGGGCGTTTTCTTATTCTCGTTTCACATGCGACACACCTCTCGCCTGGTGCTCCTGCGCTGATTTCCGTGCGAGTCGGTCCCGCTCAGTTCGAGTGGCGCAATGCCAGGGACAATCCTGCCCCCGAGATCCCACCGGCAACACGCACAGATGGACCGTTCCTCGGCCTCCGGGCCGGACTTCTACCTGATTGTAAGTGGCGTGGAGGGGAGAAATGTGCGGAAAAAGAGCTGAGACTGATGTGTTGCGTGCAGGCCGATCAGGATACTGTGTACGAGCAGGATCTTCTCCGCAATCCCGGCAGCGTCAAGCCATGGCTCGCCTATATCGAATACAAACAACAGAATGGAACGCTGTATGAGCAGGCATTTGTATGTACTCTCGGAATCGGGCACAATGTTTACGGGAAAAACTGACGGATGATCGCAGGTGATGGAACGCGCTTGCAGACAACTGCCGAGATCGTACAAGCTGTGGAAACTGGTATGGATTTCTTGCTTTCCCTAAAATTCGGAGACGTTGAACTGACACTCGAAAGTATCTCGAGTTCCGGACGAACCACCTGCGCGGCCGCAATGCGACGGTGTACAAGGCCGAGTACCAGAAGGTGAACGCGCTCTTCGAGCGGGCCCTCATCCTGCTCAACAAGATGCCGCGCATCTGGGAGCTGTATCTCTCGTTTCTCTTGCAGCAGCCACTGGTGACGCAGACGCGCCGCACCTTCGACCGCGCCCTCCGCGCCCTCCCCATCACCCAACACAACCGCATCTGGCGGATTTACAAGACCTTCGCGCGGTCCGCCTCGGGCCTCACGGCCGTGAAGATCTGGGCGCGCTACATGCAGATCCACCCGGAGAACGCCGAAGAGTACATCGCCCTGCTGGTCGACATGGGCCACTACACCGAGGCCGTCAAGAAATACATGCAGATCCTCGACGACTCGCGCTTCCAGTCCAAGGAGGGGAAGAGCAATTTCCAGCTGTGGACCGAGATGGTGGACCTGCTGGTCTCCAAGGCGAAGCAGATCGAGACCGGGCCCCGGGTCGGCATCGATGTGGACGCCATCCTGCGCAGCGGGATCGACCGGTTTGCGGACCAGAGAGGTAAGCTGTGGGCGGGCCTGGCGACCTACTGGATCACGCGCGGCAATTTCGAGAAGGCGAGAGACGTCTTTGAGGAGGGTATCACCACCGTCATGACGGTGCGCGACTTCACGCTGGTCTTCGACGCGTACGTCGAGTTCGAGGAGTCCATCATCGGGAGCCTGATGGAGTCGGCGGCGGCGCGGACGGACAACGGCCAGAGCGACGAGGAGGCCGACTTCGACCTCGACCTGCGCATGCTGCGGTTCGAACAGCTGATGGATCGACGACCGTTCCTCGTCAACGATGTGCTTCTGCGACAGAACCCTCACAACGTCATCGAATGGGAGAAGCGCGTCGCGCTCTGGGGCGACAACAGGCACGAAATCGTACAGACCTACACCGCCGCGATCGCCGCGATCAACCCCAAGAAGGCCCACGGGAAGTTCTCGGAGCTGTGGGTCAACTACGCCAAATTCTACGAAAACGGCGGCGATCTGGATACCGCACGGGTCATCATGGAGAAGGCCGTCAAGGTTCCGTTCAAGTCAGTGGCGGAACTGGCCGAGACGTGGTGCGAATGGGCGGAGATGGAGCTTCGGAGTGAGAACTTCGATAAGGCGGTCGAGATCATGGCCAAGGCCACCCAGGCGCCCAAGCGCTCGACGGTGGACTATTTCGACGAGACGCTCTCGCCCCAGCAACGGGTGCACAAGAGCTGGAAGCTGTGGAGCTTCTACGTCGATCTGGTGGAGAGTGTGTCCACGATCGAGGAGACGAAAGCGGTCTACGAGCGCATCTTCGAGCTCCGCATCGCCACGCCGCAGACGGTGGTCAACTACGCCAACCTGCTGGAGGAGCACAAGTACTTCGAGGACTCGTTCAAGGTCTACGAACGCGGCCTGGACCTGTTCAGCTACCCGGTGGCCTTCGAGCTGTGGAATCTGTACCTGACCAAGGCGGTCGACCGCAAGATCGGCATCGAGCGCCTCCGCGACCTCTTCGAGCAGGCCCTGGACGGCTGTCCGCCCAAGTTCGCCAAGCCGCTGTACCTGATGTACGGCAACCTGGAGGAGGAGCGCGGGTTGGCGCGCCACGCGATGCGGATCTACGAGCGGGCCACGCGCGCGGTGTCGGACGAGGACCGCTTCGAGATGTTCGAGTTCTACATCACCAAGTCGGCCTCCAACTTCGGCCTGACGTCCACGCGGCCCATCTACGAGCGCGCCATCGCCGCCCTGCCGGACCAAGAGGCCAAGGAGATGTGTCTCAAGTTCGCGGAGATGGAGCGCCGCCTCGGCGAGATCGACCGGGCCCGCGCCATCTACGGGCATGCCTCGCAGTTCTGCGACCCGCGGACCAACGCCGGCTTCTGGCAGAAATGGGAAGCCTTCGAGGTGCAGCACGGCAACGAGGATACCTTCAAGGAGATGTTGCGGATCAAGCGCAGTGTCCAGGCGCAGTACAAGTATGTTCTCTGTCTCTTCGTCGGTGAATCATCTAGCTAACAACTCCCAGCACCGACGTCAACTTCATCGCCTCCCAGGCCATCGCCCGCAGCCAACAACGCACGCAAGCCGAGGACAAGCCCCTCGAGAACGGCGACGAAGACTCGGCCGCGGCGGCCGAACACGCCGACGCCATGGCCGCGCTGGAGCGACAGGCGCGGGCCCCCGTGGGCTTTGTGGCGGCCAGCACCGGTCCGGAGGGCGGCAACCGGCCGGAGCAGCCGCCGCAACCTGTGGGTGGTGGTGGTGACGCTGTCGCCGCGCCCGTCAACCCGGACGCGATCGATTTGGATGATGAGATGGATGACTAGTGTGTCTTCTGCCTCGGTAGCGATGCCATTTTGTTTGTTTTGCTTGCATATCAGCCAGTTGCATAGATGAACCAACTCCATGCCATACCATACCTTCTCCTATCGCTCTTGGTCTCAGATCATCTCACTCACTCTTACCTCCCGCCCCGCCGCAACCCTGAATTTTCGAGTGTACAACACATCCTACACCCTACAACCCACCTACAGTCACGGTCCAATCAACCCCCCCCCCCCCCCCATAGGGTACCCATCTATCTCCTTTGTTATTCCGATTTACCCCATCCCATTCCATTTGAATCTATTTTCTTCACGCGCTTCGTCGCGCACTGTATCCGAATATTCCGTCTCGTACATCTTATCTTGTCCCATCTTATCCATCTTATCGTGACGTCGTCCCATCGATATATTCCAGGGGTTTTTTTTCAATACGATTTTCCATTCTAGTGCGCTCTATTCTACCAGGATTGATTCTTCTGGATAAATAGTTGGTATATCCGCTTTTCTTTCCTACCAGCCCAGCAGCCATGGGGTCTTAGGGTTAGTCAATCCTGTACTGTACTGTACTGTACATACCGTAGAGAGTCCCGGCAGGACAGAGAAGGACGACGGAAGGGACTCAGTGCTAAGGTAGTTAGGGCCAAGTTGTTGATGCTGCGCTTGAACTGGGAAGGTACTGGACTGGACTGTACTGTACCTACCGTACAGTACAGTCCAGTAAGTTGTACTTGGGGTTAGTTACTAGGCTGGGTTGGGGTTGGGTTCGGGTTGGTTGTGGTTTATTCTATATTCCCCGGGACTGCCCCCTGGACACTTTTGTATCGAGGTTTCCTTATGGTCTGGGTGGTGGTGGTGGTGGTGCCCTCCTCCCCTAGCCCATCTCAGCGGGAGTATGATTCTTGAACCTAGCCAGGGTCATGGGCCATGAGGATAGAATCAATCGGATACCCGACAGCAATCTTCGCGAACCGGGAATTGACTCCATCCGACTGTATGAGTATAAAACAGGTCTTCATCTCCACTACCAGAGCCAGAACCGGAACCGGAACCATAACCATAGCTATAACCATAACTATAACTATAACTATAACTATAGCTATAGCTATAACCATGACCATGACCATACCCTTACTATATCCATACCCATATCCATACCCATAACCACAACCATAACAGACCACGATCCCTATTCTAGAACTTAACCACAATTACACAAACCATACAGCAGCAACAAACCCCAAAACCTACACCACTACCCTACCCTAAAGACAACAGTAGCAACAGCCATAACAACAGCAAAAGTAACCCGGAAAAAAAGAAAACCGCCTTATATTAAACAATCCGCTGAATTCGGTAAGTAAATCAATCAACACTATACACCGAGACCTACCGCCCCACCAGCCTGATCTGAGGATTCACAAAACCACCCCCCGCACAACCTCCACCACCCCCTTCAACTCGCGATTCGGCCGCGTCCAATCCTCCACCTTGACCACCTCCGCCCCGGTCTCCATGAAGAGATACTCTGCCGTGAGTGATCGGACCTGCCCGGCAAACAAAGAAACAGAACAGAGTTAGCATAGTTCAGTAGCCTCAGTAACCCAGGAGCCCAGGAGCCCTCAAAGACCCTGAAGCCACCTATCAGACCCAAAACCAACCCGCTCCCCCAAATCCCCACTCAATACACAAAAGAAACGGAAAAAAACATACCCTCGGAAAAGGATGCAAAAGCAACCCCGTCATCTTCTTGCGGACGTCCTTCTGCAATGCTGCCGCCCCATCCACATCCCCATCCCCATCCAGATCCTCCGCAACCCTCGACAGCGGCGCGTAGACTCTCACCGCAGCCTCCAGACGGGCCAGATTGGGGGATTTGAAGTGGGCTTTTTGGACGAGCACGAAGATCTCTCTCAAAATATCCCTATCCCCCAAAAGAAACCATCAAACAAATTAGCGTTTAGCGTTCACCCAAACTTTCGAATGCCGGTAGAGAAAGGAAAAGAGAATGAAACCGGGGGGCGCGGGGGAACATACCGCAACGCAACACCCTCCGAACCCTCGACAACCCGCAACCCAAACCCAAACCCATCAAGAACAAACCCCACAAACTCCATCACCGGGATAGCATAGCGATCGTCCTGCAGATTCGTCGCCAAGATGCTGCTGAGGTCGGTGAGCAGGGCGAGGAGGTATTGTTGCTGCCGCTGCTGCTGCTGCTGCTGCTCCTCCCCCGCCAAAAAACTCTTGACCAACGCTGCCCGACTCGCACGGATGAGGCCCTCGCTTCCGGCCACCGCGGAGGTCGCCAGACCCTGGAACAAGGGGATCCGCAGCCAGGGGATCTGCTGGAGACTCAGGAGTTGGAGGAAGTATGCCGCGGTCGAGACGTGGCTGAAGTGGTCGTATTGACTATCACATCCCCAAACCAGTTAGGTTATCAGTTTTATCGACCAGAGAAAGGGACGGGACATACTTCAGCAGCGGGGGAAACTCCTCGGCCGTCTCCCAGAAACGCTGCAGACAAAGCCAGGCGGCGATGCGGACTTTGTCCAGTTTCTCGGCTGCGAGGCGGCAGAGGCAGCCGACGATAGCCTGGAATCGAACGCGACTACGGCCCGCCGAATCGTTGGGCAGGATGATCCCCGCGGCCTGGATGGCTTCGAGGCGGACCAGGGAGCCCACGTCGCCGCGGCGGTCGGTGGTGTAATCGTTCAGGAGTGTGACCAGGTGGTTCACTAGACGATCCGTGATGTCTACAGTGACGTCAAATGTCAGCAACCCATCCACAAACGCGCATCCACAAGCATACCAATATGCGGCAGAACCCCGCCGGACAAACTCCTCACAGCCGCGACCCGCTTCTCGATCAGCTCCTCCTTCTCCGCACACCGGGTCAGGTTCGCAATCACCGATTCCCGCAGGGGACTGTCCGGCGGCAGCCGTCGGAACACCGCACCCAACGCCGCGATTTGGCCGCGGCCGGTGGGCAGGTTCCAGGCGGTGCTGAGATGCGCGAACCACGCCTCCAGGATCTCGTGCTGCGTCTCGGACGACAGCAGAGGCCACAGCTCCGAGACGGCCTGCGAGGAAGTCTCGATCGAGATATCCTCGCTCCGCGATATGCACAGCAGGAGCACGTCGCGGGCCTGGTCCAAGACGGCCGACGACGGAGGGGGAGGCCGTGGCCCGGCTTGCGATGACGTCGCGCGCGAGAGCGAGTCAATCAGACACGCCGACGCTTCGGCCGTCAGCTCCGGCCGCCAGCTCTGCAGCGTCAGGTCGTCCTTCGTCGGTCCGAGGGGCGAGTCGAAGATCCCCCAGACCCGATCCAACAGACCGGCGACGGCCACCGCTTCCGGCACCGCTGCGCCCTCCGTCTTCACCCGCTGGTCGTGGAATGCATCGATCGTCGCGGCGATGGCCAGGAAACAACCATGCCGCGTCTCCACCTCACCGTGCGGGATCCCGTGGAGCCGCGCGAGCAACCGCTCCAGCACCTGCTGCATCGTCCGGTAGGAGCCCTGGACACTCAGCCCCCCAATGGCCCGCGCCGCTTGCCTTCTCGACTCGGCGTCCGGCGAGCCGATGCCCCGCCAATGCATCAGCGCGTCCACCAGTGGACTCCAGTAGTGAGGGCTCAGCGCGGCCGTGGCTGCCGCAATCTCATTCATCGCCCTCGAGCGTCGCGCGACCGCATGGTAGTCCACCACCTGGACCAGCGGGATCCCCTCGGCGATTGTATTCGGATGACGGCCGATCAGCTCCTGCAAGGCCGCCGAGGCGCCCCGCCGGATGTTGCCCGAGGGGTCCACGCAGGCCGCGCAGACCAGCTCAACAGCCAGCATCTGCAAGGTGGTGCACTGCTCCCCCTGGGCACTGGGGGTGCTGATGGCCTGTGTCGTCAGATCGAGGAGCTCCTGGGTGGTGTACTTGCGCGACAGCGCCCAGATGCCGAAACACGCGGCATCGCGGACGCCCGTGCCCACCGAGCTGCCCGTCGAGGATCGTTGTTCGAAGTCCAGACCCGACACCAGCGGCTGCAGCACCGCAGGCAGCTGGTGGGTGGGGGGCGCACGGCGGAAGAGCAGGTGGCCCAGCGTGAGGACCAGGCCCTGCCAGCGTTGGGCGTCCACGGCGCTCAGGTTGCGTTTGAGGCTGCTCATCCCGATGCGACGCGCCTCCAAGGGCGTCACGATGGCGCCGTCCGACCTCTGGTACAGGATGTTCTCTTCCAACGAGCCGGTGACGGCCTCGATGACCTCGGACGCCATGTCCGGGGCCAGCTTGAGGGTGATGATGCTCAGCGCCTTGCTGGCCGCAAAGCGCACCGGGGTGTCCTTATCCGCCAGCGAGACGAGGAAGTGATCAATGGAGTCCTCCAGGATACTCGAGACTTCATCCTCGGTAAGCGCACTGCCTGCCCGCTCGCCAGCGGCCAGCGCCATCACCGTCAGCGCGCGCAGGATCTTGATAACAATCTTCCTGGCCGACGCCGACGACTGAATGACCCGCGACACCTCCGAGGTGCCCTGCACGACGCGCAGCGTCTGCCGAAAGACCGGCACGATCAACGGTGCAAAGTCCTCCACCTGGCCCGACGCCGCCAAGCGGGCCAGAAACGACAACACCCCGATACACGTATAGACCGACGTAGACGTAGTCGTAGTCGTAGACTCCGTACTCCCACTCCCACCCCCAGCAGCAGGCAGCAGCACCCCAAACGCCCAGCGCACCAACCCCCCCAAAAGCCCCAGCGCCTGCATATCGCGCCGCAAAACCAAGCGCGCCAACAAGACCGTCGCGGCCTCGCGCTCCTTCCCAGCCACATGCACATACTCCAACGCCACAGACCGCAGCGCCAGCGCCAGCCTGGGCGTCTGCCCCTGCCCCTCCAACCCCCCCACCACCCCCAGATTCCCAAACGGCACCACAACATCATCCGAAGACAGATACGCAAGATCAAACGGCGCGAGCAGCAGATGCGCCAACCAGATGAGCATCACATAGCGCTCCTCCCACACCATGCGGCGGGGGCCATCCCAGGGCAGCGCTTCATTCGAGTCTACATCCCAAGCAATGAACGCCCGCAGCAGCGGATCCAGGTACTTCGGCTCATTGTTCAAGAACCGGCTGATGACTTTGACCCCCCGCACCTTGCAGAAGGTGTAGAGCAGGCGGCCGACGGCGCGGGGCAGCGGGTACGCCGACGGCTGGGGCGCGGAGGCCTCGCAGTCGCGGTCCTGAAGCAAATAGGCCAGGAAGGCGTCGACCAGGGGCGGGAGGAGGGTTGGCAGGTGCGGGTCCAGCAGTTGGGGCCATTCTTGAAAGGGTTCCAACTGTTAAGGGGGTCAGTGTGGGACTTTCATTCATCACTCCCGTGTCGAGGTTATCTTGTCGCTTTTGGCGGGACACGGCTAGATGTTGGTATAGGAAATGTGGCTGGGAAACTCACTAAAGCTACGAGTCTCTCGGTCTTGGCCGCGGAGGTCCAGCGGCGTGGGACGCGGACTCGGGCTCGGGAGTCCTTGTGCTGCTGCTGCTGCTGCTTCTTCCACAGCAAGGAGGGTAATTGGGCGGAGAACTCCTGGACGAGGTCGCCTGAGGCGCGCTGGAGCTTGACCTCGCGGTCTTCTGCCGCGTCCATGGTGGAAGCTTTGAAGTACGGCTGTTGATCGAAAGTAGTGGTAGTAGTAGTTGGAGAGATCGGCGGGGAATCGCTGGGAGAGTCCGCTTCCGGTCATGTGACCTGTTCTCACTTCTGCTCTTTCAACATAGATTACTTTCTACAAGTGGATTTGAAAGTTTATCTCTGATGGGATTGAGTAGGTCATTGGCACTAGCTAGCAGGCCTTACATGGGGTGGGATATCCTTATACTCAACTGCTGGTGAGGATCGACACTGCACGAATATATATACTGTGCGAAGCCCTAGATACACGCTCCCACTCCAGAAATCTGTACGACTACAATCAAATAACTACCAGCTACACCGCAGCTTCATTTCTCAGTCAACATAAACGAATAAAACCTGCTAGATAGAAGACCCCTAAAGCTACAGCCGAAATCAATATCAAAGAAAAACTCGTCTCCCAGAGAAAGCACGAAAAAGCCAGGAATAACACATGTCGAAGAATGAAGACTTCCTCAGAATACCACCTGAGTGCGCAAACAACCCTTGAGCATCATACCCTAAATATCAAATGCAAACTACAGATCCCGATCTGACGCCGGCTGCGCAGTGTCGTAGAACGTAAACCCGCCCAGCCCCTGCTCCGCCAACCGAATCATCGTCCGTCGCGTATGCATCACCGCAATCGCAATAGCCAGCGAGTTCCACACATCCTGCCCCCGCTCCGACAGGTCGAACTGCGAGATGAACTTGCCATCGAAGCTGGCCTCGGCCTCCTGGGGATCCGTGCTGTGCGTCACGATCGCGACAATCGGACCGCAGATGATGAAGCCCATGAGGAGCGGGAAGCTGCGAGGGGTCTCGATGGAGTCGTGGATTTGTTCCTGATGCTCCGTCTCCTCGATCTGCACCGGATTCTCCGTCTGCATCGAACCCGCAGTCTGCACCGGCTCCTCAGCTTGCGTCGGCCCCTGGGTCATCCCGAGAGCCTCGTGGTACTTCGAGGTCAGATAGCGCAGACGTCGGTTGAGTCGCTGCACGGCCTGAAGCGTCGTCTCGCCTTCCTTCTGGGCGTAGATCGCATACACGGGGATCGAATCTTCGGTCGTGTGGAGATCGGCATCGAACAGCGCCCAGCGGAAGTACTGCTTGATGGCTGCCTTGATCACTTTCTCGGGTCTTTGGCCCAGGATGTCGCAGTCCCGGACGCGGCCCCCGACATTGAAGAGATTGGCTAGGGCTTTGGTGGCTAGGGCCATAATCAGCAAATCAAAACGAAACAGTCTCCCGGGAACATCACTCACCATACAGATTGGAGCTTCTGCGAACCTGAAACAGAGGTTTGAACGACGGGCCCGAGATCGGTGGATACAACGATTCCGGCAGCGTCGGGAAGTCGTGTCGCCAGAGCTGGGGAACGAGGGGCTCAAAGCCCCGCATTGCAAGCCGGAAGAAAAGGTCCTGCTCTTCATGATTGTACAGGCCTTCGGGCAGGTTGATGGCCGTTGCCCAGCGCGCCGCTCTTTCCGACGAGAAGTCAAACACAATCCCCGTTTTCTCGTTGGGCCTGATGCGATGCATCTCGAACTCATCCAGACTCTCGTCATTCTCGCTGTCCGAAGGCGAGTCGAACCTGTTGTCCGCCGTGGGGGAATAAGTTCTCTTGCGCGATTTGCCCTGCGATTTGCCGTGCGACTGGCGCCGAGATCGAGATGGTTTGCGAGATGGTTTGGGCCGCTGATAATTTACGATGGAGTCGCCCAGGCTGCCTGGATTCATATTTGGCGACTGCTCTTCATCCACAACAAAACCCACCCGAGCAACTGGGCTCACACTAGGCGACAAAGGCGCATCATCCATAGCAACATCAACCCCGTCACCACCTGGACTCAGCTCCGGCGACAAGGAACCCGGGGTACTTTGAGTTCGCAGAGGGGAGCCCGCGCGAGAAGTATTTGTCGTCGGTGTGCTCAGATGACCCGCCGCCGACTCGGCCAATGCATTGTGGCGGTAGTCGAATCTCAGCTCCGGCGCCGGGGTATCTTGCACAGAGGACAGGATCGACTCGTGCGATTCCTCCAGCTTTAGCCTCTTGATGATAGGGCTGATGGCGTCGGAATCCAGCGGCCTCTTGCTCACGGTCGTCTGGACCGACAGTAGAGTATTTCTCTCAGCAGGAGGAGTAGGATACGTAACCCCCTCATCCTGCTCCTCAATCTTGACGGGGATTTGCAACTCCAAGCTTTTCTTCCCTCGCCGCGGTCCGGAAATGGTCTCGTGCAGGTACTTCCCCAGATGTTCGGCCTCGATCTTCATCAGGTTGGCGCCATACCGGTATTCCTCCTCTTCGTCTCGGTGGTCCTCCTTGGACGGATCATAGTCCGGGTCCTTTTTCGCTTGCTTGACCTTGGTGGATTTGTCCTGGCCTCGTTTTCTAACTCGAGCCATGCCGGTGATTGCGGAGCACAGGAAATTGTAGATGCGTCGGGTTGGGCTCGGGGTGGTGGCTTGGCTCGTAGAAGTAGTAGAAGTAGCAGGTATCACTGCCGGCGCTTCGGGGGTCACGTCTTTGCTCGTGCCGTTAGGATTCGTGCCAAAACGAGGTGATTCTGACTGATTCCCCGGAGAAGAGGATACACTAGCAACAAGCCTGTCGTCGTCTGTGTCCTTTGAAGCGGTGTGCGTTGATGGGAGTTCGTCCGAAGTATGTCGGGAGTCATCTGTAGTCAGTGGTGGAGGCGGCGGCGGCGGCGGCGGCGGCGACAAGGGCAATAAACTGCACTGGATATCTGAAGCCATCTTGTTCTTTGTGTGGTTGGTGATCATCAGTAGTCCGTTTATCTTCCTTCTCTGCCCTTGTTCTTTGTCTGACTTGGGAAGGGTGAGTGGTGGCAGACAAAGGGAAGAGGAGTAAGAGGAAGAAGTAACAAGTTACCGTATAATAGAGAGTAGGGGGAGGGAGGAAGGTGGTTGGATCTGGCTCAGGGTAAAACAAAGACTTGTTACCGGTGAGATCGAATGAGAGACCGCTCTATTTCTGGCTACAAGTGAACACATTCACTCAATCCCGGAGAAGGCATGGCCTGAACAAAGAGCAAGTTGCGGAAGAGGTGGTGTGTACATGGCATGTGTTTCACCTCTAATGTGTAAGTCAGGTCGAATCCCTCAAATGGTAGCGACCAGGCAACCAGGCATTACTCAGACTCCAAGTGCGCTCATCTCATCTTGAGAAACAGGAAGGAATAATAGGATTATACTTGTCTGTCAACCTGCGCAAGCACAGCTCTATCGCCTCATAAACTATTCTAACACAATGACAGCATCCTTGAAGTGACCTTGCCACAAAATATACTGCAATAGTCATGAGAAGAGATAGTCCCCGAAGCAGGGTTATATTCCGAGCACGTCAATTACGCCCACAAAGAAACAGAAATTAGAAGACAACCAAAGGCCTTGGCTTGCAGAAACAGAATGGAATGTCGTAGAATAAAACACCGTCGAAGCCATCAATCCATCTGCATTCACAAAAGCTATCACCACGCTTACACTGGCACTGAAAACACTTATGGGTATGTGAAAGACACCGGCGCAAACGGTGCCCAAAGACCGGCAACATCAAGAATCCGAGAAACACATCAGGCCAAAGTAGAGACAAGACAAACGCGCAATCAGCACAGGCAGTCGAGAAGTTACGCGGAGAAGGTTTATGCGAAGTCGGCAGTGTAGGAGAAGCCGCGGAACTCTTCCTGCATAGCTTGAGAAAGGACTAGAAAGAGTTGTTAGCCTGCTGTGAAATGACCTTGCATACTGGATTGGTGCCTTACCGGACTGCACAGGCGTCAAGACAGGAGTCACGCTTGTGAATTCCTGATCGAAATTGCTAGTATCTGTCGGGCTGGTGATGGTAGGCATGAAGGGTGGTGGGACACGCTTGTGGTAGATATCATCCCAGTTGACGTTCCTGAAGAATGCATGGGACATGACTTCCTGGGCATCGGTAGGACCCGAGCCCAATCTCAACTCGGGCTCACGAGTAAGCAGTTTCTGCAGAATAGACACCGAGTCGCGGGGCATGTGGATGGGGTACAGCGGCTCGTCGGCAAGAATGGCGTCATAGATTTCGTCCTCATCCTCACCACGGAAGGGAGATTGCTGAAGAAGCATCTGGTAGATAAGGACACCAAACGCCCACCAATCGACAGCACGTCCGTACTTCTTGTCCAAGAGAATCTGGTCCGACTGTTAGACACAATCCAGGGAGAAGCAGGAGAAGGATTTCTTACCTCGGGCGCCATAAACTCGGGCGTACCACAGAAGGTGCTGGTGGTTGCACCATACCACATGTTTTCCTTGCAGAGACCGTAATCCGCAATCTTGATATGACCGTCCAGAGTCAAAAGAATGTTATCAAGCTTCAAATCACGATAGATGACACCATTCTCGTGGAAATACTTCAGCGCAAGCAAAACCTCGGAAGCATAGAATCTGCACGCACGGAAATCAGCATCCTGGCTATGGTTAAATGACGAGAACCACTTACTGTGCTCGCTTGAGGCCAAATTGGCCGCGCTGAATGTGGAGCATCAGATCACCACCACTGATATATTCCATCACAAAGTACACGCGCGTCTCGGTCTGGAAACAAGCGTGGAGGTTAAGGAGGAAGGGATGACGCTCTTTGTTGGCGATCAAGAAGACCCGCTTTTCAGACTTGGTGCTTTCGACTTCATCATTCTCGATGATGAACTCCTTCTTCAGGACCTTGATCGCATAAAGCTTCTTGGTGCTCTTGGTCTCTGCAAGCATGACCTTACCGAAGTTACCCTTACCTAAAACTGCCAGGAAGTTGAAATGATCCAGTCCGATTCGGACCTTCGGCTGTTGTTGGGGCGCCTCAGGTGCTTGCTTCTGTGCCACTGCCATATTCTGTGGTGGGGGTGGCGGCGGCTGCTGAACGCCATACGGACCAGGGGCACCGACGTTTTGCATCTGCTGATGGGGCACGCCTCCTCCTTCGAACATGGGATAAGCCGAAGGATCGTAGCGGGCATGCTGGGGTGGCTGGGGCTGCACAGGACGGCTTGGTTCTGTAGGTCACGTGAGTTAATTACCGCCCAAGAGTTGATCGTGACCCTGTGATGTGAACATACCTGGGATCGCCTGGGGAGGACGAGTGTTTGCCGCAGCCGCGGCGGCATGGCTTGCAAGACCGCCCGAAGCCGAGGTTCTGGGAGACGTCTGGGATGCTTGAGGGGTGGTGGGAGACTGCGGAGGTTTATATGACATAGACGCAGCGCTCACAGCCTCCGGAGCGGGTGGCCGTGCTGGCTCGTACTGCTCGACAGGCTTTGAAGGATAGGCCATGGATGTATTATCCTGCGGAGTTTGAGGAGCGCGCAAAGTGCGGTTGCTAAGACCACTAGCAGAGCTGACCGAGGGGGACTTATTATGAACCTTGGCCCGAATAAGAGTTTCCAAGATCTGATTAGCTGCTTCCATGGACATGCCACAGAAGTCGGGCACGAGATGGGTACAGTGGGCGTGACTCGTGAGACCACACTCTGTAGTAAGGCATCGCATGTCAGTTCCTGCGAGACTCTCGGGCTTTAAGGAGGTTCACCTACCTGTACAGCGTTTTGCGTTCTTGCGTCCGAACGGCAGCAAGTATCCACAGTGGCAACACCAGTTGGCTGAGAGGTTGGAGAAACCTTCGAAACGGTGCGGAATCCGGTGGTTGATCTTCTCTTCGTCCGGGTCCGTCTCGTAGTTGGCTTTGCTGATACACTTGGTGACAACCTTGGGATAGCACTTCTTGTGACAGGTGTACTTGCAGTCAGCACACTGCATACCGGCGGCATACTTCAGGAAATCGCCGCAAAGCGCACAGCGCATGATGTTGTAGAACTGCTGCGTGACGAATTTGTGGCCTTGCTTCTCGTGTACTTCCTCTTTCTTCTGGCGAACAGCACCCTGACGGTTGAGGCCGATGTCGAACGGGCGTCGGTCTTTCAGTTGCTTGGCTGTAGATGGTGTCAGTACGAAAAGCCAGTCGCGCAACAGAGTGGCTTGAAACTCACCGAAACTCATGGACAGCTGGATACGACCAACTGGTTCCAACGCAAACCACGAATCGATTATGACCTGACCAGCACCCGGTGCGCCGGCCGCACCACCCTGACCACTGGCCCCCGCAGGACCCCCGGGGCCACCTTGAGATGAGCCCATTCCTCCCGCAGTATCGGGCCGTCCGGGCTGTCCTCCATGTCCCATCTTTTCCGCCGAAACCCATCCCGATGCATTGAACTCTGTTTCGATCTTTTTCCGACGCATCTCCTCGGCAATATCCGAAATGCGCACCCACAGCATGCCGATCGGGGTAGGCCGATCGCCAGACTTATCGTATACGGTGAGTTCGATCTCGTTGGCCTTGTCGATCTCCAGGTTAAAGGTTTCATCCTGCCATCTATCTGTCCGTGTCGGCTTCGTGCGCGCTTTAATGGTATCCTCCACTTTCAGAACCACAAAAGTTTCCGGGCCTCGCGAGAACCTGGAGCTGGTGGCATGATCTACATCTTGCACGG